TACAGTTCCATGACGTGAGCGCTCTGTCAGGAAGCAGGCACCTCTGCCCAGATTTGTCTTCCAGAGACTTGTTCTGGCCTTGGTGCCACCACATTCCTTCCTGCTGGCAGCCCATTTCTGACTGCACATGGAGCTGGCTCCAACAGAGAAACTGAGCCAGCAGAAAAAACACAATAATCTTGTTTCCTGCAGGTAGGTGTTATGCATGGTCCTGTGTCTCCAAAGGAGTGCTTGGAATAGTGTGGGAATGCACAGGAGTGAGTTACCTGGATGGATGGAGACAGAGAGGGGACACTCTGACAAGAGAATCTGTCAGGGGGACACTTTTCTGGCACTACCCCAGTGCTCATTTAACTATCATTGTTTTGTGCTCGGCACTTTCATGTACTGAGCTGTCATCCCCTGAAGAAGTTGCATCATGAGTGAATAAGGCAGAAGTGTGGGAGCAAGGAAGTATCTTCTCTGATTTTTATTGGGGAAATTGAGGCTTAGAAAATTAAACAACTTGCCTAAGTGTAGAAAGGCTGACTTGCCAAGAGCCGAATTCCAGTCTCCTGAATCACAGCCTTGTGCCTTATCCACAAGACCTACCTTTCTCTATTAGCATTTCCTTTCTCTCCACCCTGTTTTGAGGGAGGCACAGTAGCATTGTTCTAATGTCAAACAAACTCAAGTGTGGCACAGGAACGCTTCCAGCAGAGTGACTTGAACAACCTTTGAGTTTATCATTAATCTGGAAGCCATGAGTTTTTGAGTGTGGCTTCTGCATTGGAGCCTTCCTCAGGACCAATAACCACAAAAGGTCTAACAGTGTTTAAGTAAGATGCCTTTGAGATTAAAAAACATATTTCTAACAGCAAAACGTTTCTTAAGGCACAGAGGAGTGGAAATTTCTAATCTGGCAGTAGGTGAGGCTTCAGATAGAGTGGACAAGAAAACAGGACTTAACTTTGTTCCTTAAGGAGAGAAGAGAATGATTTTTATGAACACTATTCTTGCTCCTGGTGGTGTACCTTATTAGGAGAGCCATATGCTGAAAGTACCTCAGTGTCTGCTTAACCAGGCCATTGACAAGGGCCTTATCTTTGATCTAAGTCAGATAGCTGGGAACAGGAAAAAAAGATTTAATGGTTTGCCTGAGCTGCTCTCCTGTCACAGCTTCATTGGGCAATGCCTGTGCTGAGCACCACTGAAGAGCCATCCTCCTAGGCTTGACAAATACCATGTCAAACACTCAGCCCTCTGCTGTAGGAGGTTTTAGTGCTGGCTTTTTATCCCTCCACTCTAGCCTTGCCTGCCCCTTGGAGCTCCCTGCCTAAACAGGGAGTTTTACTCGTGTAGCAATGTAGGTGTTAACTGTGCTAGAGCAGCAGCCAGTGAAAAGCAGGAGGGTGGGACTTGTCTTTGGACTTGAAAAGTGGAGAGAAATGGGATCTTAAAACTCTTGCTTTAACTGGAAGACAGGAAGTGAAGCACTGGATCAGACTGGCCTAAGAATTCTGGTATCTCGCCCCTGGCTATAGCCAAAGTCAGCTGACAAAAATAATAGTGAAGCACCTGGCTTTTGTTATGCAATGCTGCAGGAGGGGAATTCCGTCCTGCTTTCTGCAGAGATCTGCATATACCCAAAGCTGTGACATGTTCTTACACTTCGTGGCAGCTGCTGACGAGGTTTCTGTGATTGCCAAAGCTGTACTGCAATCCTCTAGTTCACCTCACTCTCCCGGGATAATCCCTGGGCCAGGGATTCCAGTAGCAGCAGAGCAGAGCTGCATACAGGGCTGTCAGGAATAGAGGAATGTCCTCATGCTTGCTCAACTTTGAGTAAGGCCTCTTCATTTGCTTAGGTTTTTGCCTTTTCCGTGGGAAATCTTCTTAATTTCCATAGAATGTTTTATAAAAACAGCTGTGCTGGTTTTAGACTAAAAGCTCCTTTTGTCCCACTGTTGTGCTTTTCCCTGGCCATTGGCTTATGGCTACTGCTAGAGAAAAACCATCAGGAAAACATCTCCTTTTCATGCTGTCCTTCCTCCAATCACTTTGTTCAGGATCCTCCTGAGCCAGATCTAGTCTGTGTATTCTGATGATGGGAGCTCATACATTTTACACTATTAAACTCTTCACATAGTTGGTTGTTTAATCACAAGTCGTTTTCATTTGAAGGAAGAGAGATAAAGCTTTTGGGATGCTATAAGTGCAAGCCATTTGTATTTTTTCTTTAAAATAACATCAAGAAGCAGTTTGTACCAAAGACCCTGCTGTGTCTGTGAGATACCACCCCAATTTCAAACGTGCAATTTTAAGAATTATCTTTGAGTAGCCTGTTCCTGCAGGCCCTAAGAGGGAGAGTTCAAAAGAGCTGGGGAAAAGTAGGGAATGTTTACTATGTTTTAGTCATAACACAGTATTTGTATTGCCTGGAATACTGCCCTTAATTTCACATCAGTTTGGATTGTGTGCCCTACACTAACACTTTCCTTCTGAAGAAATCAGGGGATACTTCTCTTCTGAGCCACAGTCTGTGCTTACTCAGTAGTGTCATGGGCTGAAATACCTGGGAACCAGGGATATAAACTGTATTTAGGGGAGAAACTAAATTCTTTCTTAGCTGTCACAGTTTTTACTATCAGAGATTTGGAAAATCAGCCTGAAGATAAGTAAGGGAAAGGATTTAGTTAAAGTTCACATCCAAACTCAAACCTCACATCTACAGCTTCAGCTATCTGTCAGGAATTGCTCCCCTTTCCTTTTAAAAATCCTGTCCAGCTCACTCCTGTGATCTGCAGGGATGCCCTCAAATTGAGAGCATTTCTCTGGCTGTTCAGCCCTGTGAATAAAGATTTGTACAAAACTTCCCCCACCAGGTGAGCAATTTAAAAACTGCATTATCTTCTAATACGAGGTGTTGATGAGCTGATTGCTTGGATGGGGCACTTGGCACAGAGAATTCGGGTTGTGCACTTTTCCTATTTGCTGCCTTTGTTGTAGAGCAGAACAATTTTATTTGTGGTCTCTTTGTCAGTTTGTGCTTTGTGGTCACATTTGCTTGTGTAGGTAAAGTCTAAATTTGATTTAAAATATTAGACCTGCTTTATTGTACATTATCAATCATAGGGGATCCAAGAAATCCCTGAAAATGTAAAAGTCCAGTCTGAATTTGTTATACTTTTAGGGCATTGCTGGTTTATATCTTTTGTGTTGTTTTGTTTTGCTTTTTTGTGGGAAAGAAAATAAGAAATTACATTCTTCTGGCAAGAAACTAACCCACAGCAATAGAATTATTTTATTATAACATCTGAATAATGTAGTTTTTCTTCTCTTCAATCATCTAAGGCTAATGTCACAGACATTTTGATTATCCTGTGTTCTCCCTAGGATTCTTCTGCTCTAATTTCAGTTATAAGTTTGACGGGGTGCAACAATCCTATCATGTGACAAACCATGAATCTTTAATAAGGAAAATTTTGCTTGTGGGGTGGAGAAAGATAATTTTTGTTTATAGGAAATATGAGGATAGCTGAGCAAAACTAAGGTTGTAAAGAGAAGTCTTGTTGAGATGGACTACAGAGCAGGAAGAATAATAAGCATTTGGCAGCTTCTTCTGCTTAGTTACATGGATTGGTCTATGAATTTGCAGATTATAGAACAGCATTTTCAGCTGTGCTTCATTTGTAACCTTAGCTTTAGAAATAGGATAGTGGGGGGAAAAAAGCAAAAACCTATTCGTTCTATTCTATACCTCACTTGAGTGTTCTTTCAGGCTCTTCTTGTCGTTTTGTAAATCTTTCTTTTTCAGGGGTATTAATTGATTTAACCACATTTTCACACAGGACAGTTTATTCCACTCCCAGATTAAAGATTTAAGAAAAGAAATTTAAATTTTATTGGTAACTAAGCAGCCTTACACCACAGCTAGGTGTGGCCTTCCTGTTCTTTTGTGTTCCTCTTTTTTCAGGTGTTTTTTGACTTGCCTCCAGATTTGTTTGTTTGTTGCTGACCTCTCCACCTGGTCCAGACATGGGGCTGTTCCCAGTGTGCAGCTCCTTGGCTTCCCCTCGCTGTGTCAAGATGCAGGATCTGGGATGCTCCAAAGCTTTGGTGGATTTAGAGTTGATCATTGTGAGTGAATGGGCTCGTTGGTGATTATTTCTTACCTTAGCTGCAATCTTGGTCTGTCCCTAGTTATGTACAGCTTAGTTATTGAATCACAGGGGGCTGGAAGGGGCATTCAAAGCCTGTCTCGTTCTGACCCCCTGCTTTGGGCAGGGAGATTTTCCCCTAGACCAGGCTGCTCCAAGCTCCATCCAGCCTGGCCCAGAACACTTCCAAGGATGGGGCATCCCCAGTTTGTCTGGCTAGGCTTGTTCCACTGCCTCACCACCCTCACAGTAAAGAATTCCTTATCAGTATCGAACGTAACCCTGCCCTCTGCCAGTTTAAAGCCATTCCTCCTTGCCCTGTCGCTACAGGCCTTGGTAAAAGGTAAAAGTCTATCCTTGTCCGCCTTATAAACCCCATGGGGGGCTTGGAAGGTGTTGGAGGGTTTCAGTACAGTCTTGCCTGGAGCTTTTCTTTCTCTAGGCTGACCACCGGGCTCCATAGAACCGAGAAAAAGCTGGATAAGGAGAACGCTTGGTGTCTCGAGGCTGGTGGAGCAGAAGAGCGGGGGTGTCGGGGCGATGCCCTCGGAACGAAACAGCTCTCGCTGTACCTGCCCTGCTCTGGAATCAGAGCGCTGAACTTTTCCTTCGTACTTTTGGCTACCGGGCAGGGCCGCAGCACGGACTCGTGCCTGCTGCTGTCCCCTCGGAGCTCCATCCCGGAGCGGGGCCTGCCGGTGCCGCGGGGCCCGATGCTCCTGTCCCGGTGCTGTGGGGTGGGGCGGGGCGAGGGGCGGCCCCGCACCGCCCCTCAGCCCAGCGCGCACGTCCGCCCGCCCGCCCCACGGGAAATTCCCCCTGAAAAGGGCGGCGAGCCCGGCAGCCGCGGCCGTGCCAGTGTCCCTGCGAGGCGTGCGGGCCCGGGCCGGAGCCCCGCGGCGAGAGGCCGGAGCGGAGCTGTCAGCATGGCCGGTGAGCGGCGGCGGGGCCGGGCCGGGCCGGGCTGGGCGGGGGGCTCCGAGCGCTGCCCGCCCGCCCTCGCTGGATCTCTTGGCGGGTGTTTACTCTGCGGGGCCGAACCGGCGTTCGGATGAGCTCTTACAAGGCTGTTCCGTTCCAAATGGGTCTTAAAATTGCGCGGTGGGAGCGTTTAGGTGCTAAATAATCGCGCGGGTCCCAGTCTGGGATGGAGACAAGAAGCTTAGAGGTTGGGTCGTGGTCATCGGGATCCCGTTCACATCGGAACTCGGCTGTGAGAATGCAAATGAATGAGAAATAGTGATGGCACAAATGAAAAGTAATGCAGATAAGGGATCCTGCTCTGAGTAATTACAACAAAACGCACAATTAAGTTTCTAGAGGCTAAATGAAACCGAGTTTGTCATCCGAGTTTCGGGAGGCGTCTGTTTGGTATCTTTCTTAGGGTTAAAAAAAGCCCCTAAATTTGAAACTTGGCTATACTAATTCGAAGAGTATCTCTAGGCAAAGCTGCTTTTCAAAACATGAGTGTGTGTTCTGTTCTCTCTTAGCAAGGTATGAACTTTCACTCCTGATAAATGTATAGGTGTGCCAGCTATCAACGCGGGGAGAAAACAGCTGGGCTTGTGCTTTAAGTGTTATGATGTATTTTAAACTCGCAACAATGAAGCAGGAGAGAGCAGTTTCGGGTTGTTTTTTTTTCTTCGTGTCTTTATGTATTTTCGGTGTAATTAGGAACCAGATAAGGAATTTTTTTCAGCGGGGGAAGTTTATAACTTCCTGGTACTAGCTAGCTTTTGTCGGTTGTTTTTTTTTTTTCTCTTTTAGTTGCCGTTTTGTAATGTAACACGATAGTAAAGAGGAAGTTCACGAGCGTTGTTCGGTCTCTGTTAGAATTTGTGCAGTTTATGGAGCCCTAGGTAGATGACTGCTTTTCCAAATCAAATCGTGTTGCGGTTCCAGTTGCTTTTGCTTAAATTGGGTGGGGTGTGCTGTGACAAGGCTTTGCCATCCTCCCGCTTTGCCTGAAGTGTTGCAGATTCTTGCTTTTTAGAAATGACAGACTTTGTGCCACCAGGGATTTGTTCAGAGCGGTGACAGAGTTAAATAGCGACACTTCTCCCATCTGTGTCTCCCTGCAGGCCGGAGGGTTTCGGGTGATACTTTCACATCTCCACAAAGACCCACAGCTGCGCTGCTTTCACATGCAGGTGTTGGTGGAGAGTCTGTTCACCCCTGGCCCTGCAAGAAAATGACAAATTGGGCAGTTCCCCCAGAGTCCGCTTGCTTGGAGCCAAGGAATGAGACAGAGCCCTTGATCGGGTTGTCACTCTTCCTCCCTTGTGGCACAGGCTGTGTTAAACTTCAAACTCTCACAGGTTTCTTGTCATGGAGAGGTCTGATGGAAGTCTGCTCCGAGTTTTAGGGATTGTCCTTTTGTTGCTCTTTGTGTTGCTCAAAATGTGAGAATAAAACACCCTTCAGTTCTTGAGTGATCATAACTGGCTGAAGTCTCACAGCTGTCACTGCTTCTCCCTCTTTTCCTTGCTGAGCTCTCAGAGCTGTCACTGCTTTTGCCTCTTTTCCTTGCATATATAACTGGGACACTTGATCTTCTATATTCTCTTTAAAAATGTTCAGTTTATTAAAACAGAATAATTTTAGAGAGAATGTAGGAGATCAAATGTCCCAGTTATATATGATAGTTTGGGTTATCTACCTGATGGGAGGTGATCAGTTTAGAAACTGCATTTGACTGACTGTTGGAAAGGTCTATAAAGAGTCCTGAACAACAGTTCCCAAAGATTCTGACCCCAAACACAGTTTCAAGTGGAAGTGCGTTGTGCTTGTGAAGGTTTAAAATTATTCAGTGTTGTATTCAATGCAGGAGGGGGAAAAAGCAATTCAATAACGAAAAGAATGACAGGCAGGTTGTAATGTGCAGCACAATGTTTCTATTGCTAGCATGTGTATAGGCAATTAGAATTAATTACAAAGACAAATTAAACTCTTAAGAACTTAGATGAAGGATTAGCTAGATTTTTTTTCTTCCATTTCAAATGCTTTATGGAGTAGTTGTGGGCAGGCAGGTAATAAGTAGGAATAGCTGTGTGTTTCTCCTCTAGAATTAGTGAGAGTTTGGGTTTTGGTGTATCTCACATGTGTTTGACATACAAAGCTAGACCTGAGGAGGGCAGGTCTGTAGTGACTGTGTGGGATCTAACAGACCTCTGTGTGTGAGAGAGAGCAGATTGTGACAGAGTTAAGCTGTGCCACTTCCAAGCACATTGCTGATTTACAGAAATAGGGAACACCAGACACTTGGCTGCAGAGTGCTGGTAATACCTCTCACAAACACTTCTGTGTGTTTCCTCTCTGCACAAAACATGATGACACTGATAATCACAGCACAGATGATAACGTGATTCTTGAATAGAGAGAGAGGCAGCCAAGACAAAATGAAGTTTAATGTTTAATCTCTGGAGGCTGCTGTGTCACCGAGCTTTACTTTCCCACAAACACACCTGCTGCTGAGCGGTGGCTTTACCTTCAATGACATTTGTCTCAACCACAGCCCTGTAAAGATCACTGAGCCCAGAGCCTTAAAATAAAGGGCTCTTGAGAGGTGAGAAAATAGCCCTCTCAAGCGAGCATTGCTAGAACTGAAGGGAAGTTGTTGGTTAAAGCAGCAAGAGTTAAAGACCTCAAGTGATTGCACTCTTGTGGTGAGCAGCGAGGCTCTGGCTGGTTCTGACAAATGCTCAATGTCTGTAGGTGTCCTGCATGTCTGCTGGGCAGCCATGTAAGCATGAGAATCTCCCAGATTAGGAGGCACTTTGCTGTAATGTGGTTGTTTTAACTTGAACACAGATTTTTAATTTATAAATGGATACGCGTCTGTATTTGTGCTGATCAATGCAATAGCATTGGAGTAAGCTGAAGTGTGGAGGTTAAAATAGCCATGCACAGATGCGTGAGCGTGGTTTTGTGAGAAGCCCAGACTTCTGCTCTCTCTCTGAAACCAGCTTTACGTCATTTCTAGGCTTTTTTGTTATCAATGCCTGCCCTCCCCTTCCCTTTTGCTTGTTTTCCAGAAAGAGAAAATATGCAAAGCTCATCTAAAGGAGAGTTAGGTTAAGAGCTGGAAGTATCTAGAAAAGGGACCATCCCCCTGAGGAACCTAGACTAGACTAGTGGCTAATGTGTATTTAATGTGGCAGCTCATGGCTGGTGATCAGAAGGTTACTTAAAATCTACCTGGTGGGAGGCAATCAGTTCAGAAGCTGCATTTGACTGACTGTTGGAAAGGTCTATAAAGAGTCCTGAACCAGAGTTCCCAAAGGTTCTGACCCCAAACACAGTCCCAAGTGGAAGTGCATTGTGCTTGTGAAGGTTTTGCAGAGGCTCCAGTTGTTGAAGCCCATCCAAGAGCTGCTCTCACACGGTGGAGGATGCAGTTCCACCCCTGCTTGTAGGTGTGTGACAGATAAATGTGCATCCAGGTCACACTGTGGTGATGTCTCACATGTCGTTCTTTCCATCCATCCCTTCTCTGCTGCTCTTGATTGCTTTATCTCTTAGGTTATAATATTTTCCTACTTTGGGTATGAGCTGCTGCAGCACTGGAAATCTTTTGTGATCAACAAATCCCAGGCATAAAGTTCAAGCTTGGTGTTGGCAGAGGTGCCTAAGCCAATATAGGTGCACAAAAGAGAAGCCTTTATTATGGAGTTAGAGTTGGAATCCACCTCTTTGCCAAAACCCATGTGCTGTGGATTCACAGGCAGCACAGACCTTGGGCAAAAGGAAGTTGGGGTTCTTTTACGCTTTCAGCACTTTCAATATATTTAATAACTGTTTTGCTTATTATGTTGAAGTCCAAGCACTTTTTTTCAGTGCTGTGCCACAGGATATTGTCTGTCCTGTTTGTTTGTGATGCTCAGCCTTGCTTGAGGAGGATGCTATTATGTGAAGATGACAGAGAGCTCAGTAGGCATTTCCATAAGCTACGTTCTTCTGATTGTGTAGCACTGTGATGATTCAGCTTCAACAATATTTACTCAGCCTCTTTTGTTTGTTTTTCGCATGCCATCCCACTGTTGTCACTGTTTGATTGACTGTCCTGTTTGATGTTCTCAGTGAGATATATGAAACAGCTTGTTGCTGTCTGGCAATAAAACATCACTTGAAGAGTACTTAGGCCCTTGCTAAGTTAATGTCTTTCTAACCCCCCCCCCCCCCCCATTTAAGAGTTCTGCTGTCTCTTATTCTCAGCTGTCACTGTCTTTCCTGAAAACCTCCCTTCTGACAGCTGCCCAGCACTTTTCTGAGGTTTCATTGTCTGGGGAGATACTGCAACTAGAAACCAGCCCCATGGGAGGTGGGCAGCTCAAAATGTAGAATTCAATACGAGCAATCAGGTATTTTTTGAGCTCACAGTGATAGTGAGCTTCCATCCATTAGGAGTATGGGGTTTTTTGCATAATTTGAATAGTTTCTGCTGCACTCTGATAGGAACTAAATCAATGAATTCTGAGCAAACATCTTCCCTTCCAGAGGATGCTTAAGAGAACACAGCAGTTGACAGTACCAGTGCTTGGAGAGGACAGCCATTCTTAGAACTGTAATATTCCTAAAAATGTTGGATGATGATTTGAGAAATCCCAAATAATGATTTGGGTTTTGTAGTATAAAACCTTTCATCAGACACATCTTCTACAATGGTTAAAAGAAGCTAAATTCTAGAAGAGATGGAGGGAGGGGTGTCTTTTTTTGCTAATTACTTCCATGGTGTTGATACCATGGATGTTTCGTCCAAATCTGTTCTCTTCTCTTGTACCCCAGCTTCAACATGTGCATGTACATAAAAATAAAGAGTGGATTTCCTGAAATCCACCAAGTGGATTTCGGACCAAGTGGAAGGGTGGTAATGTAAATCAAAAGTCTAGAAGTTCTAATTCTTGCATCTTCTGCTGCTTTTTAAGCTCTACTGTGTCCTAACATTGAAAATATTTTATTTTGAAGGTGGCCCTGAGCCCTACATTGAAATATTTGAGCAACCCAGGCAAAGGGGCATGCGTTTCAGATACAAATGTGAGGGAAGATCAGCAGGCAGCATTCCAGGAGAGCGCAGTACTGAGAACAACAAGTCCTTCCCTTCCATCCAGGTAAATTCTGCTTTTATCCAGGAGTTAGCAGTGCCCGTGTGCTTGTAGCTATGTGTTGGACTCTGCACTGTAAATACAATGCTTTTCATCTCTCCTTCTGGGATTCTTTCCTTGGCATGCAAATGGAGCTGCAGCAGAGTGGGAAAAGCTTTACTTGCTCCTGGTCACGAAAAGATTTGGTTTCCAGGAGGAGGAGAAGGTGCAGAGGTGGTTTACAAAGTGCTGCTAGAGGGGCCGCAGTGAAGACTCCAGGGCTGGGAGCCATTCATTAGCAGCTTTCTCTGTGTGCACGTCTGCTCTGCTTTCTTAGCTGGGTGACGTGGGTTTGGTTTTAAGGTTTGGACTGCAGCATGGATTTTGGGAGAGAGTTGAAGGAATTTGCCTACAAAATGTGGAAAGGCTTTGAAAGGTTGCTGGGCACAACATAAAAGAAGGCACTCTGTAGGAGCGAACAATCACCCGTGATGGGGAGAATGGGCTCTGCAAAAGACACCAGCATGAAGTGTGCAAAGGCAGAACTTCAAAATGAGCTCAGAACAGGGAACTGAGTCCTCAGAGCATCTGCAGGGATGATGGGTGGGGTGGTTGCACCACGGATGGGTTGGGAAATCCAGAATGGAAAGGGATTCAGAGGAGCCCTGAGAGCTGTGCCAAAGCAGGGACAAAGACAGAGACAGGAGCTGGAATGGAACCACTTGGGCAGTAGCTTTCATAGGCTGGACAAAGGAGACCCTAGGCAGGTAGGGTAAGAGAAGATCCTTTCTGATCCCTTTTCTGATGTTTAAGTTGCCAGTGTTTCCTTGATCTCTTTCAGTTTGGAGGAAGTCTGTCAGAGCTGAGATTAGAGGAGAAAGTTCAAATTTAAATGGGAAGTGAAGAGCACTTGCCATCTTCCTGCCCAGGAAACAGAGGCTGTGTATCTGTATTTGCAGAGTGTGCCAGCATATAAAAACCAATGGGGAGCCCAAAATGGATTCTCTGGAATCATAGCAGGACATTAACAGATAAAGATGATGTGAAATGTGAGAAGTAGGAGATGTTTTATGCTGAGGCAAAAAAGCTCATGAATAGGGAGGGTTTGAGAAGGAGAGTTTTGGCAGTCATGTGTTGAGCAGCAGAGTGAGTCTCTATTGCACAGAAGCAGCTGTGGAAGCTGCTCCAGCCCTGGAGCCAGAATCAGTGAGGGAAGAAGCAAAGAAGGGTTCCCTTTGACTATCCCAGTGCCAGGTTTGGTTAGGGAATGCAGGAAATGGAGATGGTGCCAGACTCATTTTTCAGCACTCTGCCAATTGAACAAGGAACTGTGTGGGCTGTTGGCAAGAGCAGAGGCTTGCACAGACTCTCAGCCCCAGTCTGTGTCAGGGCACAAGCTGAATGGGCTGAATCAAGCCTTGATTCTTCTTTTCTTGGGCTGTGCTGCACATGAAGGCCAGGCAGAACCCAGAGGGGAGGTGGGACATGGGTTTGTGACCATGCAAGCCTGGCCAAGTTTGGTCTTTTGAAAGGTGACTATTGATGACAGAGCTGATTGTGCTGATAGCAGGTGATTTCTAGGTGAATTCCTGCCTCCCTGGAGCCCGTGGGAGGCTTTAGTGCTGATTGGGTTCCAGGGGAGTCCCCTCTCGAGATGGAAATGTGAAGAGAGAGGCCAGGAAGAGATTAAATTTCATGGTGTGGTTATGAAGATGAACATCAGGGGGGAACTGGAGAGCCAAAAGCAGCTAGATCAGGCTTCACATTCATGGGGCTGGGTGTAAAGTGAGGGAGCCATGATGTAATGGCTGCAGAAAGTGAAGGAGCAGTGGAAGTATCATTTTAAGGGTAAAAAGTTACAGTGACTTGTGTGAAGACTGAATGGAGTCAAATTGGAGACTGATGCAAACAGATGATGACAGGTAAAAGAGCACAGTTCAAGTTAAAGATTTGAAGTGTTGACTGAAAAGGATGAAAGGATACATGGTGGATCCTTGGAGTCTCAGGGGGATGAGAGGGACTGTTACTTACAGGGCAGGGGAAGTGGAGGAGGAAAGCTCACCTCTGCACAAACATTGCCTGACTAAGTCCTGTATTTGCTTTCAAGCTTTTATGTGTCAAACAATTGAGGCCAAACTATTTTTCCTCCTTTTTTGTTTTTCCTTTTACACTCCCCCACACTCGGTGACTTCACTGGTAGCCATCAGCTTGAGGTTGCTTTCATGCACCTGAGAAAGGAGCATTGAACTGGCTGATGACTGCTGTGAGAGCTCTGGTAGGAGCCTGAGACTTTGCTGCCCAGCCTGACTGTAAGATTGACTACTCATCTGAGAGTTAGTTGGGAAAAACCCAGCAACTTCAGAGGGGATTGTGTCATGTTATCCTGTATCTGCTAAGATCCTCTTTCACTACTTAGTGTTCCAAGCACAGGTAGTATCCTCATCACAGAGGTTTTATGAGTTTTTTTCCTAAAATCTTTGGAGGTAGACTTGTTCTTCAGGCAACATTTCTGTATGGTCCCCTGTTTAGCTTTGGTGTTCCTTCCACAGAGCATTTCAGGATAGAATTGATTTTCTGTAACAGCTGGGGGACGATACCTAAAACCTTGAAAATATCCCACCTTTTTTTTGCAGATTCTGAACTATTTTGGAAAATTCAAAATAAGAACCACGTTGGTAACGAAGAATGAGCCCTACAAGCCACACCCCCACGATCTGGTTGGCAAAGACTGCAGAGATGGCTACTACGAGGCTGAGTTCGGGCCAGATCGGCGAGTCCTGTCGTGAGTAATGCTGTTGCTTGGGAGTTTGATTAATTGTGCGAGGGATTTGCTAATCTTGTGTTTTAAAACTCATATTAATGATTAAAAGAGCAATTACAATGCTGTCTTTGCTGTAGTTTACTAATCCATCCTGGGGAACTTCCCCTGGAAGTATTTCCTTCTCTTTTTGATATTACCCGTGTACTTTTTCTTTCCTGTCACCCTTTTCTTTCCTTCAACCATTCCCCCAATGTCTGTCTTCTTTTCCTTTCTCCCACTTACTTTTTTTAGCCTTGTTCATTAATACATCTTACTCTTGAGCATGACTCTTTCCTACATGTAAAAATGATGAGTAATAGAAAGGGTAACAGCATTAGAATTTGTGCTTTGTGGCGATGAGGGAAGTTCACACCTTCCATGGAAATTGTATTTGGACTTTCTGGAGAAAGTTTGTAGTGGCTGAGTATCATATAATCTAGAAGACGGTGATTGTGACACATCTGGGAATGTTAGTAGCTGTCACTTGTTGCTTGTTGTTTGGATTGGGGTTTTCTGACTGAAGATACAGAATCTGCTCAGGCCCAGCTCTGAAGAGTAAGTGTGCCAGGGAAGGATCTGCTTGTGGATGCAGAGAGGAAAACTCAGGATGTGTACAAGACATTCCTCAGTGCTGCTAACTGTGTTTGAGATATTCTTGTATTTGGTGGTGTTTCCTCCAAGTTTACCAAGTCTCGTGTAACAAAATAAAAGCAGAATAAGCTGCAGCAAACGTGGAGTGATTATTGCTGGAGAAGGGAATTTGGAACTGGCAAGCTGTTTGTGGTTCACAGTTTGCAATGCAGGAAATATGGAAGTAGGCTATTGCTTTGGGGTAAGCATAACTGAGCTGGGAAGAAAATCAGGTGAATATTTCAGTGCATAAGTAGCTCTTACACACAGCTCTCAGGCCAATGGGATTCTGTTGGTGTTGCTGAAATTACTCCGTGTTTACGTGGGTTTAGTCAGTAGGACACTATTAAAGGAGGGAGCTGAAGACACATCTGTTTTGAAGGTGGTGATTTATTTCATTGATGGTGAAATAAACAGTGGAGATGCTTCTTCAGCATCCAGCCCAGGCTGAAGGGACCAGGGATGGGATCAACATCCAGCCCAGGCTCAGGGGATCAGGGGTGGGATCAGCATCCAGCCCATGCTCAGGGGATCAGGGGTGGGATCAGCATCCAGCCCACGCTCAAGGGATCAGGGGTGGGATCAGCATCCAGCCCAGGCTGAAGGGATCAGGGGTGGGATCAGCATCCAGCCCACGCTCAAGGGATCAGGGGTGGGATCAGCATCCAGCCCATGCTCAGGGGATCAGGGGTGGGATCAGCATCCAGCCCACGCTCAAGGGATCAGGGGTGGGATCAGCATCCAGCCCAGGCTGAAGGGATCAGGGGTGGGATCAGCATCCAGCCCACGCTCAAGGGATCAGGGATGTGCTGCAGCATGTTCTGGGGCACAGAGCACCCTGACTTGCAAGCATCCTAAACTCCAGCAGGACCTTGCACCTTCCTCTGGCCATCCATTGACCAGCTTCCCCTTGGTCTTCTCAGACCAAGCTTCCTCAGCCAAGGTCAAAGGAAGTCTGCTGTTCTGGCCCATCCCACTTCCTCCCCTCACTCTGTGCCTGCTGACCCAAAGCAGAAAGCCTGATTGCTTAACTCCTTTTCTGGCCCTGTGTTCCCATCACTGAGTGCAGGCAGACCCTGAGGATTGCTTCTCCTCTTGGCATTTGGTTGCACAAGCTTCAGTGTGGGGGCACAGGCGAGCCTGTTGGAGAGGCCATTGCAGGATGTCACGCCAAGAAGCACTGGGATGCTCTGCAGATATTTATTTGCAGATTGTGGTTTCATCTCCATTATATGTTTGCATCAAATCCTGCCCTTTGGCATAGTGCCATTCCTCTGTTTCGCTTCTAGCACTGGTGCTTGTTTGCTCCATCCATGAATTCTTCTCAATATTTTTAGGATATGAGCCTCTCAGTTACCTACAGAATAGTAAGTGGGCTGCTTTCATGTTATTGATAATGTGAAACTGTGAGCTTTGTGTTTGACATTGGAGGTCCTGGTGGGAGGAGGCTCGACACGTTCCCTTTGAAATGTTTCCAGCATCGGTACACTCATTTTTTTTAACAAATCATTGGTTGCTTTAAGATGAAAGAACAGTATGATCCATAATTGGATCTGGATGTTTAAAGTCATTTTCCTTTTTGTGGCTGGTGACTCAACCTTCACATTCTTCTCTTCGTGTCTGTGTTGGAGAAAAGCCTCATCCCGTACTAGTGAGCAGGAAATGTCCTCTGTCAATAGTGTTTCTGGCTCTCTACTCTTGCTGAGCATCCCAAATTGAGCAAAAAATCCTTTTTTTTTTCCCTCAATAGAAGTGAAATTATTAATCACAGATTTTGGGCTGCTCTGAGTAATTACTCTGCTTTCTGCTGTTCAAAGTTCCCCATGTTTGAAAGTTCCCAAGCATTTTGTTCTGCCTGTGGTATAATGATCTTTGTACTGCTGCCCAAAGTTGATCAGAGCCCTCCCTGGCTGAGGCATCAAGGCAAGGCTATGAAAGTCAGAGCTTGTGGGGCTGCCTGTGTACTCAGATTTTTTTACTTCCTAGTTTCTTCTCTCTGCAAGGATGATGTCATAGTTTTCTTAGCTGTTTTTAATTTTCTTCTCTCTTCCTACTTCTCCCTCTCTCTTCTCGTTATCTTACTTGCTTCCTGTCAGTGCCCATCAATGTGAAACCCCAGAGCCCTGCTGGGGCTCTCAGCAGTTCCTCCTCTGCCCCAGCTCTGCCTAGGCATGGCTAAACACACACTTTCACTGTGACAGCACAGCCTTTGAAAACTGACAATTGATGATTGATAATCTGGCAATTGATAATAAATTGATACTCTGACAATTTCAGGCTGCTGGAAAGCCTCCTGTGCACGAGAGGCTTCCTTTGGGGGTATAAAGAGGAGCTCCCCCTGTTTGTGGACTTGGAGGTGTGCTTCAAACAATCTGTGGAACACAGTGTGTGTTCTGAGGGAGGGAAATGATGTGTGCTGTGATCCAGCCCCAAAGAAAGTACTTCCTGCAGGAGCAGGTGGCGGTGGGATTGCTCACCAAGGTGCAGTCCCAGTGTGAGTGTCAGTAGCCACGACAGGAAGGCAGAGTGCTGTAGTGAATGATGAGGTGCTGCTGTGTTTTATTTTCCCCTGGGTCGTGCCGTGTTCAGTTTGCACAGGAAGCCTGTGCCTTCCTCTGCCAGCAGAGGTTCTGGAAGTGGAGCCTGGTGGCAGAGGGTTTGGGAGCCTCTGAACACAGACTGGGGACTTTAGGGAGATTAAACTTTACATCCTCCTAGGATGGGCTGGTTCAGAGGTGTACCAGCACTCTTGGCAGGAACAAGGACTATCTTTAGATGCTCTTTTGCTGAAGCAAAGAAGGTTTGTGGAGTTTCAAAGAAAGGGAAATGGCTGGAACTTCTGGAGAAAGATGCCTGGCACAACCCATCTTCAGAGCTTATTATAACATCATGAAACACAGATTATTTCTCTTTTTTTCTTTTTTTTTTTTTTTAACTTCCTGCTTTTCATCCACTCATCTTTCATGATGTCATGGTTTTTCCATGTGGGAAAGAGTCAGCCTGCCTGGGACTCCCCCCACCTCCTGCATCAGGGCGACCTGAACTTTATGCAAATCAGGAGGAGCTGAGCTCTTCAGAACTTTTCCATAACTATGTGAGATTTAAAAACTTGTTTTGACCTGTTTAAAAAAACCCCTTTATAATAGTGTTTAAGATTTACATTCCCTGATAAAAGCAGGAGAGCAAATCCTTTAACTAATGCAAATTACCAGGTTTATTGATTACAAAAATGATTGTCATTATAAATCACCCAAACTCAGTATCTTACTTTTTAATCACTGTAGGTTTACTGCAGAGTAATACATTTTAATATAGAAATATATATTTTTAAAAATGTAAATGATTTAGAATTTTATTTTAGGATTTTTTTTTTCCTTCTGTGTCTGCTCTTACTTTAGGAAAAACAGCATCTTTGCTCTTCAGGTCTTGTACACCCTTCTCAAAAGAAGCTTTTTAAGAATTTCTTACACTTATCACACTAATCAACATGAATATTTTATTTAATAGTCTACACTGTTATTAGTTGCTGAAATCTGGCCACATATGCTTCAGTTTTCAGAACCTGGGCATTCAGTGTGTGAAGAAGAAAGACCTGAAGGAATCCATTTCTTTACGAATCTCAAAGAAAATTAACCCTTTCAATGGTGAGTGGAAATCAGCTGGTTCTCTTGGCAAGGTGATGGGGTTTTGTTTGTCCTGTCCTGCCTTTGCTTTTGGGTTGGAGCTTTATTTTCTTCTCCAAAAATCTTTCTGAGAAGCAGTCTTCCCCTTCTGGGTCCCTCCCATTCTTTCTTCCCAGTCATCACATGATGCATCTATTTGGATAATTGCCCTTTTTCTTTTTCTATTGAGTTTTTGTAATTCCCAGCAGCAGTCTGAGTTGCTGCTTGGACTGAAGGAATGGGATAGCAGCAGAAACCTTTCCTGGAAACTTCTCCAAGTATCTTGGGAGTTGGATTTCCCCAGTTTTGGCAGTGATGAGAGTAAAAGACTGAAATAGCATAACTCTTCAACAACTTAAGCCAGTACAAATCTCACTTGTCACTTTCTCATCTCTTCTCTTGCTGTGTCTCTTGCGGCCAGGCCAGGGGGCTGATGGCCCCCTGGGAGCTGCCCCTCACTTGATTTCACAGCGTGGCAGCTCAGAAACCCAGAGCAGGACTGCAGTGTCAGGGCTGGGCAGGGCTTGGAGCAGCCCAGTGTGGTGGGAGGTGTCCCTGCCCATGGCAGGGGGTGGAACAAGATGATCTTTCAAGTCCCTTCCACCCCAAACCATCCTGTGATGCTGTGGTTGGGCTCATCAGGGTCAGAGGCAGGGCCTGCTGCTGCAGAACCACACCTGTGAAGGGTTTTGTTTGATGTGACTGATCTGTGGGCTGCTCTCAGGAGGAGTCATCCTGCTCTCCCTTCCATCCCTGCTCACACACTCCCACCACTTTCCTCACACCACCACACACAGGGGCCGTGTGGCCCCACAACGAGTTGCTCCAGTGGAAAACCAACTTGAAAGCAAAAAATGAAAAAAGGAGAGTGGTTTTCCTTCGGATAAACTTGTTAAACCAGCTCCCCTCACAGCAATTTTACTGCTAATTCTCTGCACAGAGGAGGTGGGGAGCACACTGCAACATTTTTTGGCCAGTTGCAGTGGGACCAGCACATGCAGAATGTAGGCACAACTGAGGGGAATGAAATTAAAAGCATAAATACCTCCAAATTATTTGCTAAGCAATGTCAATGTAATCATGCATTTCCCTAAGTGTATTTCCCTAAGCAGGGCCTTGGAGATTCTCCAGACAGAGATACCTGTGGGTATTCTCTAATACTCACAGAACTCTTGCTCTATTCAGGTAAGATCCTTAATGGAGAATTGAGAGCTGGATTCCTGGCGGGCTTTAAAAATACACGTCCCTAAATTGGGACAGAAAGAAGGATGCTGAATTTATCACAGAATAAGAAATGTCTTAGATATTTTTCTTCACTTTAGAGCAGCTGTTTGGAATCAGGCTGATGGCCCTGATGACCCATCTGAACAAATACCCTAGTTAGGATTATCTATGCACACAGTATTTTGGCAAGAATTTAGTTCATCAGCACAATTTAAACGCTTTAAGGGTTTGAATTATGTTGCCTTGACTCAGCCAGCTCTACCTTGATTTCAAGCAATGAAAGGGGAACTTTTCTTTAGAAGGAAGTAGATTTTTACAGTTGTTGACACTTGACTCCACATCCACTAATAAATTTTGGGCGATCACGGAAAGTTGAGCTCAGTAGAATCCGGGCAGATCCTGGGCTGCTTCCCAGCCGTCCAGCAGTGGAGGGGGCCACTTTGCTGCCCTGGCAGCAGGGGAGAGCCTGCCTGGGTGACACACAGGGGAGAGCCTGCTCTGGGCAGGGGCTGTGCTGAGAAGGGGCCGCTGGCAATCCCCAGCTGTGTCACTGCCCTTCGGCGCATGTTAACGTGTCAGCACAAAGCAGAGCCACTTGAGAGCGGCCTCCAGGGCAGTCCCACGCTGAGCAGAGCCCAGAAAGGCCTGGGACCAAGGTCTAATAAAACAGAATTAGTGACAGGAATCTTTTTATGTGTTTATTTAGTTGATCAGAACAGGGTTTTGCAAGCAGCAATCGCTGCAAATGTTCGCTGCTTGACAAGGTTGAGAGTTTTATGTATGGATTTAGTTTGTTTTTTAAGGTCAGAGGAGTGTTGGTACATTTTCCAGGATTGTGCAGGCTGTGCTGAATCCATCCTGCATTGTGCTTTACCTCTGTGTCTTCAGAGTGGCATCTGGCTGCCCTGTTCAGAGACATTCTGGAGCAGGTCGCAAGTTGGTGTTACTCATTTCTTGTATGACATCATCAAAGGAACTTCATGGAAAACGAGCCTTCAGGGTGCTTGTGGGCTGGTAGGCTTTTCTTTTTTCTTTCCCACTTTCTTCTGGAACAAGCATTCCCTGTCCTGAGCCTCCTTTTGGGGAAGAGAGGTTGTGTAATGACCCTAAACAACTGATGCCTACCTTGGAATCCCTGGGTGATGGGAATTTGTTTGCAGATCGCTGCCGTGTATTGGAGTCATTCTGCCAGGGCACCTGTGTAAGGCTGTCTCCCTGTGAGCTCCCAGTGCTGGCTGGCAGCATTTGTGCCTTGTGAAATTCAGCACAGGCTGTAGGAGCTGTGTGCATTCACTAGGATGGATGACTTGCAATCAGGTTGCTCCTCTTGTGTTAGCCTTGTTTGAGAGAGAGGGAATTGCCGTTTCCACACCGTGGTTGTGATCTGTGGAGTTCCCAAAGCACGTGCCATGTATTTGAGTCCTCTAACAATCTCAAGAATTCTAGAAATCCCTTTTGTCTCTCATCTCTGAGCACTCCAGGGAAATGGGGCACGGTGTCAGCCTACCATGCAACTGGGACTCCTTGGCATGGTGATGGTGATGATGATGATACAAATAGCACAGCATCGAAGGAGCAGAGTTACTCCTCCAGTGGAGCTGGTCCATGTCTGCTTTCTATGGTGTTTGTTTTCTTTTAGGAGCTGTTGAGTTGTGCCATATCCTTGTCTTCCCATGCACTGTCTGATGTACAGCCAACTCAAATTAAAAGAAGAGCCAGTTTTCAGTTAAGAGCTTTTGTGAGTGGGTGTGACTTGACATAGAGACAACAATTGAGTTAATAACAACTGGAGTTAATTGTCAATGAGGAAAAGCCCTAAATGTTTTCTTTAAATTATGGAAAAACTGTACTCAGTCAACTCAGTCAGAGGACTGACCTTTTTCTGGCCAAATGCACGGCAGCACAAAAACTCCGGACTTGTCTTGGAGTGAGAATCCCCAAATTCCAGGCGGTTTTATCAGCAGGAATAACCTGACTCTCCCTGGAGCTTGGCTCAGTCTTCCTGCTCCTTTGCAGCTGCTCGTGCTGAGGAGCATGCAGTTCATTTTCAGGCTCTCCCCTGCAGCCCACACCTCAGCACGTCTGCTGTGCCTCCGCAGCGTTTCCTTTGCGTTTCCCTTTCCGCCCGCCGGCGGCTGACCCTGCGCTCGTCACTGTGCCGTGACGCCCTCGCCCTGCCCACGCCGCCCCCTCCGCGCTTCCTCCGCCTCTGCTTCCATGAGAAACCCCCTCTCCTCTGCTGCTGCTCTCCTGTGTCGTCCCCAGCATCCCCCTCTCCACCTGTGCCAGCTCCACAGGGAGTGTTGTGGAGTTTCATGGATTCCGTGGGCGGCTCTTGGCAATGGGTTGAAGGTGTCTGCTGTAACGATCTCCTCGGACATCACAAGGAGCTTTGAGCTTCTTTTCTTGTATTAAAACAAATGAGCAGCCCCCCAGTTACATCCTGAGGTGTAAAATCTTAGTAGTGACAGTCATCAGCTTTTGAAGGGGCACAGAGCAAACCCACTCAGGGGAAGCTGCATGTCCTGATGGTGCCATGGCCCTGGCTTAGCTTTGGGAACCCTTTGTTCCTCTGCTGTCATGCAAATGCTCCTTTCTGCTCATTCCAAAATGCATGTGTTAATAATGAAGGACAGCCCCCTTTCAAATTGTTTAAAAAGGAAAATTACCAGGTAGCAAGACAAACATGCTGACTTCTTTATGATAGAAACAGAAACTGCCAAAGAAAGGTATCAGGAATGTACAGAGGCTAATGGATACACTTGTTTAAATCTGTTCCAACTTCACCTTTTTCACACTGAACTTAAAACAGGAAAGGAAACCAGAGAAACACTGTCTACACAAAACAAGTGCTGAGTTTTAAAAGTTGTAATTTGTATTCCCAGTTCTTCCCTTGGCCAGGCCATTTGCCTCCCCTGCATTTCTTTCTTTTGTAAACCAGGGAAATGAATCCACAGAAGTTTGGTCATTTACTGGCTGTAGAATGGAATCTGAATTTTAGTTGTTCGCACTCACCAACTCACTGACATTTTGCTTTTTGAAAAATGTGTGTTGCTGATGCACATTCTGTTTCAAGGTACAGGTGAAAGTTTCTCCTTTGTTTCCTGCAGAATTGATTGATTTTTGTGGATCTCAGTGGAATACAACAGGTGTAGGTGCATTGGGAGAAGAAACACAGTGCTGCCACAGTCCTTCCCTCTCCTTGTTCCCAGCTTCACCAGGACTCTTCATCAGGGACTGTAGTGATAGGACAAGGAGTAATGGATTCCCAGAAAAAGAGGAATTTAGGTTGGATATACAAAGGAAATCCTTTAATGGTGCTGAAGCCCTGGCACAGGGTGCCCACAGAGAAGCTGCACAGAGAACCTGGAAGTGTCCAGGTTGGATGGGGCTTGGAGCAACCTGGGACAGTGGACAGTGTCCCTGCCCATGGCAGGGGGTGGATCTGGATGAGCTTTAAGGTCCTTTCCAACCCAGACCATTCTATTATCCAACCCCTTGGGAAGTGTTAGTAAAAGGCTACCCCAGCACCAGCAGGGACACAGGCTGGGGGATGAGCTGGGTCTGAAATGGACCTCCTGGGCACCAAGAGGGACCTGTGGCCTGCAGCCCATTTCCCTGCCTGGCTGAGCCTGCTGTAAATCAGCAGCAGCCCTGGAAGAAGCTCTGCTTCCACCGATTCCCTCGCGCCAGGGCTGCCTGTCGTGGGAACCAGCTGGCTGCAAACAAGCCTTTTCCTCTTCCCTTCTGGCAAGATAGTTCTGAGCCAGACCAGTTCCTTGATCTGATTCACCACATGAGAGCTGAGCCAGCCTGAGCAGTGCTGGAAACGTTGGGCAGAGCCACCTTTGGCAGCAAAACCTGGGGCATGGGCCGAGTTAGACTGCCCAGTCGGTATCAGGGCCAAGGGGGGTATCTTTGTACTCCAGGAGCAAAACCCTGCAGGCAAACCACTTCTGTCTCATCCCTTAAATGAAACTGAGCTCCCAGCATATCCCTAAATTAAAAACCCTCATCTGCGTAAGAGAGAAACAACTCATGATGATTATTAATGATGTGTGCTCCCCACACATGTGGGGAATGATGTGTGATGATTATTAATGAGGTGTGATCTCTGGGTGTTTTAACTGGAGGAAGGTCATTCTCTTTGACATCTCATGTGGCTCATGTGGCCCTGCAGCCCCTCAGTGACAGGGGAAGGTCACAGGATGTCCCTTGGCAGCAGGGTGAGCTGTGCTCTCCACAGAGCCCCCTCTCTGACTGTGTCACACCACATTGCCCTGGAAGTTTCCATGCAGGTTAAGCTGAGATGCCTCCAGCGCTGCCCACTCCAGATGGGTGACATCATTAGCTGGATGGTGGGCTCTGTGTGAGGTATGTGCTGTTTGATAGGTGTTATCAGTCAAAAAACCAAACCCTTGATCATTTCAGTGTTCAGAATAAACTTCCACTTTCCCTGATGCATCACCTCATGAATGAACATCAGAGCCCTTAACCCCCCATTAAATTAATCATATAAGTGGCATTTCATTGGCCTTGCTGGGTGTTGAAAGGTATTGAAATACTAAAAAACCAATAAAACTATAATTAGAAATTAATAAACAGGATGCCTGACATTACCAGCATCTTTAATTTTGTGTCCGACCTTGGACTTGCACGTTGGGGTGTTGAACCCAGAAAGTCTCCAATTTTGTGTTACAGAAGCAAATCCAGCAGGATCTCAGTGGAATCCCAGTGGGGTATCTCTGGATTTTAGAGACGATATCTTGGAGACAGAGACAGCCCAAACCTGATGCCTGCGAGCTGCCTGGATCAGCCAGCTCAGGTTGGAAGGAGTTCACAGTCCAGCCCACGTGGGGTGTTTTGCCCACACTGGGACTGTGTTGGTCCCTTCCCACCTTAGCAGACAGTGGATTAGGGAATTATTTCCAAGGTAATTATTTAGTAAAGCTGAGAAACCAGCATTTTTTTCATTAGAGTTGTAAACAGCTCTATAATGAAATTATTTAGTTATTGTAGTGCCTTTCCAGATGAACAACAAATCCTCGCTGGGTTTGGCCATAACTGCAGGTTTTCCTTTTGCAACCCTACTGCCAGAATCTTGGTGACTGGGGTTGCATTTCTTTTACCATGGTGCTGCTGGTATTTTTTATGAGCATTTTTTACACCATACTCCGTATTTACCTTAGAATTTTAGTTATTTTTAAAATATTATTTTAATTTCTTTGAGTTGCTTCTGAAAGCTCCTTGTAAAGCTTATGAATAGTCCTTCATGTGTTCCTGTGTGCAGAGTTAACTACAGTTAAAGCACTTCTGCCAGGTGAAGGCTATTTTTTGTAATTAGACTGGGCCATCACAGGAGTATACCCAGGCTTTTGGTTGGGCTCCAGCTCCTTCAGCTGGATCCAGATGAAGACACTAAGGTGTGGTACCACACAGTGAGCAGCAGTCAGAAGAGGAAGTTGAACCCTTGCCAAAACCAGAGAACTCCTTCCCTTTTTGTTTTTTTTGGTTTTTGTGTTGTGTTGGAGCCTTTTTTCACCACACCTGTGCCCCCAAGGTGCCGCATGGGATGATGTTTTTCCTTCCCACCTGTGATGCCCCCGGTTTCTGTCCTGCTTGCACGGAGCTTGGTGGGGTGGCTGCTCCTCCTCTCCAGTACATAGCGTTCCCAAAATCTTCGACAGCGTTTCCTAACTCTAATGACTGCAGGTTTGTCAGGTTTAACCCCTCTGTTGTCCCTCTGCACAGGAGCTGGTGGAATAAGATGGGGTGACATGGCCATCCTCCACCCGGCCGCGCTCCGGGCGTTACTCAGGCTGTTTGTCTGCCTCGGCTTTGTTTGCTTTTAATATTCCCAAGGTGTCAGCCAGCATCCACTCCAAGGCAGAGGCTGCTCTCAAATGGACTTCAGAGGGAGCAGGATTAGATGTTTGTTAAAAATAACAGCATTTTGTTTTGTTTGGATGGTTGTCTTGTTTTGAAATTGGTGAAAGCTGTGTGCTTCTTCATATGCACATGGAATCTGGTGTCTCTCTCTTTTTTGAAGCCTGTCATCACAAGATGGAGTTGCAGCTGTCTTGTTCTCCTTTTCTTGCACTTTTATGTTCTTCTTGTGGGGTTAAAAATAGCCCAAGAGGAATCACTCTTGACTGAACGCTTCCTCTTTCAAACCCTGGATTTTTAAAGATTCTATTAAATGGTTTATGTAAACATGCAAATCAGGAGCAGTGGTTTTGCTGCAATAGAATGAGCTGTACCCAGTGATTCTGTCCCTTGCCGTTCCTGGCACACCACTCCCGTGTCAGGTGTTGGACAGATTTATTGGGAATTTGCGCAAGTTTGTGGCAGAGGAAATGACATCATTTGAGCATTAGCATTGCTAACGTTCTCCATATCTAGAGTATTTTTGCTTTTATAGAGCACTCTTAGGCTTCAGTCTGCTGTTAGATGTTTCTGAGGAAGAGTCACATTTCCCTGTGGAGGGCCCAGAGCGGGGCTGAGGCTCCTTTAGCGTGAGAGAGGGCCTTGCTTGCACAACCACAATGTCCTCGCTTTGGCTTCAGGGTCAGGAACCAGATCCAGAGTTCGTGCTCAGCTTCCATCCACAGGCAGCTTACTCAGGCAAAGGTACTGAATCTTTGTTTGATTGTGAACAGGTTTGAGGTGTGAGCACCCCTTAGCTCTCTGCAGGGACCCACATGGTCACCAATGGCTAACAGGAATGTGAGCCCTCATGTCAGGGTGTCCTTGGGAGCTTCCATGATGTCAGGGCATGGATTATGGATTAGAGGTGCTCTCCTGATAGCCCTTCTGCAAGGTGCCTTTTGGAAGTGCACTTTTCCTTCTGTGTTCCCTGAATCAGCTGTACCCAGAGGCAGCTGGGCTGTAACTCAGCCAAATCCAGGTCAGGCTGAGGAGCTCTCTGCTCCAGACCCGTTTCCTAAAGATCCTCTTTCAGGGTAGCAGGTGAGCTAAGGAAGGGCATTAAAGCATAAAACTGTGTGTGTCTGGTGGCACAGCCAGCCCCAACCTGCACAGTGCCACAGGCAGGACTCCCCTGGGCTCAGCACTTCTGAAACTCACACAGTTGTTGCTCAGGTTTGTATTCACTGCTGTATTTGCCTTGAGATACTGCAGATCACAGGCTTGGAAAGGGGAAAGGTGACTTGATTTCCCTTTGCACCAGAGACCAGGAGAAATTGATATTCAGAGCACCAGAAGGACTCAGAGTGCCCAGTGGAAAGTGTTCTGAGCTCATCACACTTACAATTTCACACTTATCAAAAGGTAAAAGGAAGAAGGCACTCAAGTGGGCATTGTGGAATCCCACTCGTGGCAGGGTGGGGACCTGAGCCAGTGATAAATGCTAAAGGTCAGAGCAGGCAATCTAATCAGTACAGCGTGGTCCCCAGGCTGCTTATCACAGCCACGTTTAATCTTCTGCTCTTGCAAGAGCCCTTTGAAAGGGAGGGGAGGAGAGTGGAGAGCTGGTGATCTGGTGGCTTGGCACATGTTGGCTTTGGGTAGCTGTGAAGAGTGTGGAACAGCTGCACTGCTGCTGGGAGGGGTTTGGGGAGACAGAAACACTTGCAATTATTTTAATTATCAGTACTTCTACTTCAGTGAAATTAAGCCAGTTTCTCATTTTTACTAGCATTGAATGCCAACACAATGGTTTAGTGTCACACCTTAAAGGAAAGTGTCGAATTCAGAGGGGGCTGCTCTTCCCAGAATTGTCCATTAAGCTGGGAATACATGAAATGTTCAGTAATGATACCCTAGGCCTTGTGTCTTGCAATTAATTAAAATAAGGAGTGAACAGAATTGAAGTGCTGAGTTTGGGTTATGCATTGCTGGGCTTTACACTGGGAGGGATATGCAAGGAAATGGATCCTTTCCAGCAAGGCTTTCCTTCCTGTGTCACAAATCTGTATCCCAATGGCTCCATTGATCCCTGCTCTGAAAGGTACAGCTGTGACACTGCTGGTGGTGATGGGGAGAGGTTTCTGTTGTTTCAGCTTCATTCTTGCCCCAGGCATTGCCTTCTGACTCTCCTTCCATCTCAGTCTCCAGAGGAAAATAATGATAGCATGTAGCCAAAGAAAATCTTTAATGGGACCCTAGGATCCCTTTGTACCAAAGTATTTCTCTTGGGCAACAACATTAATTTTGTAAATTTTATCATGCACAAAGAATAAAAAATTACTTTTAAGCTATAGCTATATGAAACTGTTGTGGCAGGCAAGGTGAGGAACCCAGGCACAAGGAACAGCTGAGAGCTCAGAGAGCTTTGTTGGGTGCAGGGAAGGCATGAAAGGCTTCAGTATCAGTTGTGTGAGCAAGGGATTAATTCATGCAGCCCCTGTCCAGCTGGGCAACTCCATCTCTTGTACTGGTGAGGGCTCATCCCCAGTTTGGTGAGGAATTGGTGCTGGTTCTGTGCCTGACCTGGGTGCTGTGTGTCCTGCAGTGCCCGAGGAGCAGCTGCACAACATCGACGAGTACGACCTGAACGTGGTGCGGCTCTGCTTCCAGGCCTTCCTCCCCGATGAGCACGGCAACTACAGCATAGCCCTGCCTCCTCTGATCTCCAACCCCATCTACGACAACAGTGAGTACCAATGGCTCAGCCACATGGCTCTCTTTGCTTTCCCCTTTTGTTCTTCTCTTCAGCTTCTTTCCCTTCCTGAGGCCTGTGCCAGCTCTGAGTCGCTTCTGTGGCTTGGGACTGCCAGGTGCATGGGTGTCCCATGGCAAGGCACAGTGAGCAAACATTCAGACACGATCCCAGGGTGAAATGTTGGCCAGCCAGAGTGAGGATTGTCCGTGGCATTCCTGGACTCACACCCAGGCGTTTTTCCAGCCCTTGTTCACCGCAGCAGTGTGATTGCAAGGAAGGGTTCATGCCTGATGTGCCAAGGGATTCAAGTGATAGTAGTGAGATGCATGGCTGCCTCCAGGCTGATCTGCTTTCCAAGAGTCCTCTGGAGCCTGTTTGTGCCCTCGAGGAGTCTTGCCTTTGCCTTGTGAGGGCTCTAGAATGTGACCTGCAGGAGAGATTCTTGCCAGTGGGAAACTGTGTGAAGGCCTTTTGTGTCCTGGTTGGTGGCTGTTCCATGTACAGGTGGGCAATGGAGGAGTCCTTGGTCACCCAGGAGGGTGCAGAAGTGTGTGACACTCCTTGGCATTGTTTTCCACATTCCACAAAACTGGGCATCCCTAGGGCATCAGCAGCTGAGGATTTTAGCCCCCAGTGTGTGCTGGACTCCTCTCTGGGAGCAGAGTAGCAAAAGAACTCTTAATCCTGAAAAACTTCCCTGCAGCGTTTTTAATTTCTGCACCATGAGCATTTCCGTGCTAAATATTTGACGTCCATTTTAGCAGAAAGTACTGAATAAAATGAATCTGCATTTCCTGAAGTTGTTAGGATTGTGTTGATGTGGGCACAAACCATTGTGAGTATGCTGAGTATGATCTCAGATGGCTCTGATATAATTAGAGTCTCCTCCAGAACGATGTAGAAGCTGGAGCTGCTAGCATTGTGTCACTGAGAGCCCTTGCACTGAAATAATCAGGGCTGAGATAAAAAACTGATGCACCAGATTTGCAGCTCTGCCTCAGCTGCCATTTAAAAATGTGCCAAATCATGATTACAGCTGGTGGGCTGATGTCAGAGCCTGCAGAGCTGCTGTGGGGGAAGCAGGGGCGGTGCTGGGTGTCTGTGGGCAGCTCTGACACCCTGAGCCCTCCCTGTAGCACAGCAGCTCTGTAAATAAACCCAACCACACATTGTAAAGAACAGCCCTGCTCAGTTTCACATCCTAGTTGCTTTTAAAAGTGTCAGCCTGCTTAGAGCTGCTCTGTCCAACAGCCAGGCTGTGCCCTCAGGGGACAGGGACTGCAGGCTGGGCACCCCTGGGCTCTGAGCCTCCACAGATCTGCTCAGATTAGGAGCAAAGAGATACCATGGGAGCCAGCTTGGACACTTCAAATCCAGATTTTCTTCTCTTTCTCATCCTTCATAGCTAGCCCAGCTCTTTCCAGAGAAGTGTGACTGTACCAGGGCACAGGCTGCCCAGAGAAGCTGTGCCCCATCCCTGGAAGTGTCCAAGGCCAGGCTGGATGGGGCTCTGAGCAACCTGGGATAGGGGAAGTTGTCCCTGCCCATGGCTGGGGAGTTGGAAATGGATGATCTTTAAGGTCCCTTCCAACCCAGACCACTCCTTGATTCTCTGCTGTTGATGCCATTCAAGCACACAGAAGTGAAACATGGTAAAATTAGGCTTTTCCTCACAATTCTTAATTTACCCTTCCTGTGAAGAGCTCACTGTGACGCTGCCAATCACATGGCCCTGTGCTGTTTCTGGGTTTGTTTGGTTTCCCCTCCCTTGAAGGGTTCTGATTCATTCAGCAAATGAAGTGGTGTGTGTCATGTAGTGCATGGGGCTGAGCTCCCACTAGAACAGTGACAGTAGAACTGCAGATAGTAACTGCCTAATGGGGACTGGTGAGAGGTTACCAGAGCTCTACTCTAGGTGTAATCTAGCTGTACTTGGGTAGGAATTGATTCAAACTGAGAGTCTAAAGCAAATTGGTTTGGTTTGGTTTTTGATTGTTTGTTGGTTTTTTGTTTGGTTTTTTTTTTTTTTTTTTGAGGTTGATACCATGAGCTTTGATTTTGGTTTTCCTTCTCTGAGTCTGGAATGGGGAGCCTGTGGTGGTGGAGCGTCATGGAGAATCAGTTTCATGGTGTCCAAGCAGCACCAGCTGGATCATTCCAGACATTTTAAATGTGTTTGGAGCTGCTGCTCCAGAATGGAGCCAGACACCACCAGGCAGAGCGTGGCTCCATCCCACTGGAGTCACCCATGGCCATGAGATTGTGCAGCCTTCAGTGGGGGCTAATTCATGCTGGGAGGGAGGCACCTCTGCATCCCCAGCTGTCCTGAGGGCTGTTCTTGTACAGCCACAGTCTAGGGCTGGAAGTTTGAGTGCTTTGGGGTGAACCTGCTGCCCTCAGTGAAGGTGTGAAATTATGGAGCTGCTCCTGGACACCTGCAGAGGGAAACAGAGGGGAGGCTGGGTGGCCAAGCAGCTCTGAGAACAGAACTGCAGCCAGATCCTCAGAGAGGGGAATTCTCCTGACTTGCTAGCCCAGCTCTTTCCAGAGAAGTGTGACTGTACCAGGTCATCAGTCACCCACACAACTGCCCTGAATTCTGCAGCTTGAAGGGCAGGGGGGCTGAGCACAACCACTTCAGTGGGGGAAGTATTTAGGACTGCTCTACAATGGTTAGGGAGTGGTGGCACAGCAGTGCTGGTGTCTTGTGCTTGGAGATAAGCTGTAGGATCATGGAATGTCAGACCCTGCTGCTGAATTTCCTGTATGGAGGAAATTGCTTTGTGTGGATTTCAGGGTGTCACACTCTGAAGTCGCAGCAATTCTGGGCCATTAAATCTGCCTGTTTGCTTCCAGGAGCCCCCAACACCGCAGAATTGAGAATTTGTCGTGTGAACAAGAACTGTGGAAGCGTCAAAGGAGGAGATGAAATATTTCTGCTGTGTGACAAAGTCCAGAAAGGTAACCTGGACTAGGTTTTCTCTCTCCCTTTTTCCCAAATGGACACATTCCTGCTGGGGGGCTGAAACCCTCCAGCACACACCCCAGAATGGTTCGGGTTTGGAGCTGGGTGGAACAGCTTCCAGGTTCGTGGGATCTCAGCTCCTCACCTTGCTCCCCCTTCTTTCTGCTGCAAGTTCTCAGTTTTCCAGCCTGACAAGCACCTTCTGTTTCTCCTGGCCTAGATGACATAGAAGTGAGGTTTGTGCTGGACAACTGGGAGGCCAAGGGCTCCTTCTCCCAGGCCGACGTGCACCGCCAGGTCGCCATCGTGTTCCGGACGCCGCCGTTCCTCAGGGACATCTCCGAGCCCGTCACCGTGAAGATGCAGCTGCGCAGGCCCTCGGACCAGGAAGTCAGCGAGCCCATGGATTTCAGATACCTGCCAGATGAAAAGGGTACGGTTCCCACCGTGGGATGAGCTTCTGAGCAGCCATGGTCAATGCAGGGCTCGTGGTGGTGGCTTAATTAATAGGAAATCCACAGCGCTGCTTCAGCAAAGTAGAGTTTGGGGTTTGAAAGTTAGAGCAGTCAGTTATTCCCTCTTCCAGTGAAATCACCAGAATTACTGCTGGGTAACACTGGCATGGTTTGTTAGTGCTGCCATGCCTGCAAATGTTTTCCTTTAAATAATTCCTACTACAACTTGGTGCCACTAGGGAGCTCCTTTAGGCCATCCTTAAAGAGAAATACAACTTTCCCCTTCCACTCCTTTCTCTCCAGATCCATATGGCAACAAAGCAAAAAGGCAGAGATCAACGTTGGCTTGGCAGAAGCTCATACAGGACTGTGGTAAGGAAAATATTTGTCTTTTTCTTCTTGTTTGAGTGAACTTACGTTTAGCTGGAGCTGTTCCCTGTAAATGCTGCACACTCATGTTTTGTTCCATCATAGGATCCAACACGATGGAGAGGCCCAAGGTAGCCTCATTCCCTGTGGTCACTCCTGAGGGGAAGGCAATTAAGAAAGGTAGGCTTTTGCCTGCAGTCTGACAGTGCTTTAAGCAGATAGTGCCCTCTCTTTGCTTGAAATTCTAATATCTTGAGGCTTTCTTCCTGTAAGACAGTGATGCTTCTGACTGTACAAACTTCAAGCTATCAGTTCTTTGTGTCACCCTCAGTATGGGCCATAGAGGGGTGAAGTAAGCTGTGACTGTGTTCACAGGGGTCTTAGGGTGAGGGAAGAGACAAGGATCTGACTCCATGTTTCAGAAGGCTTGATTATTTTATGATACATATTATATTAAAACTATACTAAAAGAATAGAAGAAAGGATTTCATCAGAAGGCCGGCTAAGAATAGAAAAAGAAGGAATGATAACAAAAGCTTGTGGCTCGGACAGAGTCCGAGCCAGCTGACTGTGACTGGCCATTAATGAGAAACAACCACATGAGACCAATCACAGATGCACCTGTTGCATCCCACAGCAGCAGATAACCATTGTTTACATTTTGTTCCTGAGGCCTCTCAGCTTCTCAGGAGGAAAAATCCTAAGGAAAGGATGTTTGTGACAGTAAGCAGCTCTCTTGCTGCTGCCCACAACTCCGGGGTCCATCCTGGACAGCAGTGAAGCAAATAGACAGTGGAAACACCCGTGCAATCTTGCTGTCTTTCCTTTGCCTTTTACCGCTTGTACTTTGAAGAAAAAAACACAAAACCCCCAAAATCCCTAAAAAGAGGCATTCTCTCCGTAGAACCCAACGTGTTTCCCTCCTCGCTGACGATGTCCCCGGGGCTGGGAGCCCTGTCCAACCCGAGCCAGCTGTACGCGAGCTGCTCGCAGCCGCCGGCGGGGCCGAGCAAGCAGGACTTGCTGAACACCCCGTTCTGGGCGCTGGGCTCCCTCCAGCACGGCGGCAGCTTCAGCACCGAGCCGCAGGGCAGCGCCTCCCTGCCGGCCTTCCCCGACGGCAGCGCCCTGGCCTGGCCCGACGAGAAGGAATCGAGCTTCTTCCGGACCTTCGGCAGCGCCAACGGGCTGGGCGCCGCGGGGCTGCCGGGCCCCGAGCTGCAGCAGGGCCTCCCCGGCGGCTCCGGGCTGCCCATGGACACGGAGGACATGGGCTGCGGCAGCCTGAGCCTGGAGCGCTTCAGCGCCGCCGTGCTGGGCGGCCAGCGGCAGCAGCCCCCGCTCCAGCTGCCCCCGGCCGGGCCCGGCGCCGCCTTCCCCTCAGCGCAGCCCGGCCTGGCCGAGCCCGCCTACGGCTTCATGGACGCGGAGGGGCTGGGCGAGCCCCGGCTGGGCCAGCAGGGCGGCCTGCCCGACGGGCACTTCTACGACACCGACGGTGTCCACGCCGAGGAGCTCTACCAGTCGTTCCCCTTCGATAACATCCTGCAGAGCTATCACCCGTGAGCCGGCGCTGCCTGTGGAAAGCTCCGCCGGTGCTGCTGCCTGGAGAGGAGTCTTTCATGTCATTTACCCTTCTGGAGTCCCTGCTTTCTTCTCTTTCAGAATGTTGCCGTGCAAGTTTCAGGTTATAACTTAAAGGTTATTTATTGCAGCCCACAGTGGTGCCCCTAAAGAGGGAGGTGGGAGTGGGGTTTGGGGTTTCTGTACCTTAAAGTATCTTGTAGATGTGTTTTTAGAAGTGGGAACTGTTAACACTTAAAGCTTCCTTACCTTTGGGGCTGTAAAAGCTGGCATCTTCAGAAGGGTTAAAGTTTCAAGTACTTCACAGGGTTGAAGTTGTTTTGAAATAGCCATTTTTGCTATAGAAATTAAATTTAAATTTTGATAGTACAGAAATTAGGAAAAAAACCCTGCACGTGAGCACTCTAATTCAGTCCTGTCTAATGAATGGCACCTGAGTTCTGCTCAACTTACTTGAAAGATTTGGGTTTTAAATCCCCTTTCTATAAATATTCTTCTCCTAAAATGAGAACGTGTATTGATTTTCCACGCTGTCACCACACTCCGTTTGCTTTGAAGGCAAATTTACTCATAAATTTTTTTTAATGACTATGTCATTGTTAGATATATTTAAAAAGACCGGAAGGTTTGAGTTTTTAAATAGTTGTAAAAGCTCTGTTGTAAAGGAAATCACTGCACAAGACAAGGAACAGAAAGTGAGGACTTGTCTGCACTCCAGCCAGACTGCACAATCTCACAAGCCATGCCCCTGTAGCTTTAGGAATGAAGCTGATACTGCTCTGCAGCTTGTTTGTGTGTGTGTGCAGCTGCCATGTGAGTGAGATTTGGAAAGGCAGGAATCTCTGGAGCCAGAGTATCCACTTACTCACTCTTTCCTCAGGTATCCTGGCAGTTTCCTGCTATGCAAGTGACTGCTTCAAAAAGGCTCAGGTCCTGCCTCCCCAGCACCACCCCCTCCCAGGAGGGCAAAGCCAGAGGCTGCCCTGCTGCAGCCTCACCTCTATTAACAACTTTTAAAGCCATTTCAGTCTGTACTAATTAAAACCACTCCTCTGTCCTCCGTATCAGGGACCAGAAGTTCTTCCCACCCACTTGATTCCCAGTCTTCACTCTTAGCCTGAGCAGGAGCTGTTCCTGACACCTCCAGCTGGAGGTACCTGGCTGGGTAAGATACTCTGGCCTTGGCAACTTTATTATGCTCTTATTTTTTTAAAAGCAACACAGGGAAATGTCTGAGTATTTCTAAGGGACACAGCTGCTCTTTAGGGCAGGTAAGGTCCCCCTTGTCACCTTTTGGTGATGTAAAATTGCACTATGAGCACAACAACAAAAAAAAGCAACAACTTGTCCTCAACCCAGCCCCCAAATCAAACAAGCCACTTGAGATGTAGAGTTGTACACAACAAAAGGTGCTCCAGAACCCCTCTGTGGCTTTCAGGAAAGCAGGGATGCCTTCCCTGCAGGAATCCATTGCATTGGGAGCACTCCAGTGCTGCTGCTGGAGTTCCATCAGTCAGGTGAGCATTGGAAACTGCTTCCCCTGACTCCAGGTGCACAACAAACTGAAAACTGTTTTAAAGCAGTTTTTACTCACTTCTGCACCTCTCCTCCACTCCTAAGCAATAGAAAGGCCAAAGAAATACACAGACAGTTTGAATCGTGTTGTTTATTGTTCTTTTTTTTTGAAGTTCTCAGTTTTAAGTATATTAAATGTAAACATTTTGCTAACTTCAGAAAACCCTCTGCTCACTTTATAAAGCTCTTTGTAGTATAATTTGTTTTTACTGTATAATTAAATATTTTCAAAGTTCTGGTTTCCTTTATAAACGAGTTGGTTTGGTAATTAAAAGAAACTGGTTATACAAAGTGCTCAGCTTCTGCAGCTCCTCGGCTTCGTGACGTCCCTCACCACGGGCAGGCAGGGAAAGGGACAAGGTAGGTTCTGGGCTGCTTATCCTGGGCTTTTTTGGGGTATTTTCTGCTCCCTGTTGCTATAAAACCTCAGGCATGTGAGGGCTGATCTGCCTGAGCAGGTTTTGGGGCAGAGCTGTTGGTTTTTAGGCAGAGGGGACCAGGGCACAGATGCTTTTGGCTGAGCTGTGCTGCCAGTCCAGCTCTCTCCAGGCCCAGCTGAGCTGATGCAAAACCAAAATGCAGGGGGAGGCATTAGAGGTGTCCAGCTGGGGAAATACAAGATGGAATCTGGCTCTCACCAAACACCCAGTCTGGGCACTCACAAAAATACTCCTAAAAATCAGCTGAAGGCCCAAGTGCAACATGAATATTATTGCTGCAATATTCAGTGTGTGACGGTTGCAAAACTGGACTGGAAACAAAGTTCAGACCCCCAGATTACTTTTCTCAGTTTCATTTCTGCCCAAGAACTGCCTCAAGAGCTCAGGGATATTTGCATATCAGCTTCCACCCTCCCCACATTTGGGTACTTCAGATTTCCCATAAAAATAACCAGCCTGGGAGTTTGGGAGGAGCTCTCTGCCTTGCAGGGGCTGCACAGGGAAGAGCCTTGTGTGTCCTTGGCAGCCCTTTCCCTCTCCCCCCCAGGCTCCATTTTCCCTTGGAGCAGCTCTTCCCATGCCTGTTGTGTCCAGAGAGCACAGTCTTGTTTACATTTTTGCTTTCCCTTGTAGATTATGGAATTTATAAATTGTATTTTAGCTCACTGTGAGTTTCAAGAAATCACGCAGATATGAAATTCCCTTTTGTTTTCTGCATTCAGTTTCTTTAGTTTTCTATCATTAATGACATTTCCTTCCTGGCTGCAGATTATTATCTGAGAACTAGTCATGGAATGTGTTGCTCATAAGAGCTTTAATATTAAAACCAAAAATAGTATTTCTGTCTGAATCAAATTTCTGTGTTAGAAAAACAGGAGCTTCTGAATTACTTATGTTACAGACACAAGTTCTGACAGCCCAGCACAGGCAGAGCCTTAAAGGAGCTCTTTAAAAATGTATTTATTAACACTTTTAGAGCCTCCTCTCATGGAGCTGTTGTAGCATCACTGAATTCAAGGGAAGGCATCCCAGTCGTCCTCCCTGTCCCCACACAGTGGCTTGTCTTGGCAAATGTTGCCCTCTTTAGCCCCAAAATGTTAACAAAGAGCTCTGAAATTCCAAACCTTAATTTCTTGTTGATAGTTTAACTCTTCTGTACTTCAGGGAAGCACCTCCCTAACGGATTAACGTGATACTGGTATAAAAAATGACTTCCTAAAGACGTTGGTGCTAGTAGGAAATATTTAAAATAACCAAAGGAAACCTCAGATCTTCCCTATTCCAGTTCCTAGGCTGTGTTCAGCTCTTCCAGGCATCCATCCAAGGTGAGGTACAAGAAGAAATGTATTCTAAATGCTAAATCAGAGGTGTTTATCTCTCTCTGTCAATACCAGCAGCCTGTGGTACCTCCTGTTTCTGCCTGCTCATTGACATTCTTGCTGTTCCTGTTTTTCTTTACATTCCCATCACCCACCAGGAGTTCCCAGTCTTTTTGTACATGGTGACTCACTGGGGAATTCCTACTCCTCAAAGGGCTGAGGAAGCCTCAACTCTTGTTTCTAGGAAGCATCCCCAATGTTTTTAAATGAGAAAAACTTGGTTTTAAGTGCAAAGTTTTCCTTGGAAAACTTTTTTTTTCCCCTTGAAAAGCACTCTGAGAGACAAATCTGCTTTTCTCTACTGCCACTGACCAAAAAAAAAGCAGTGTCAGGAAAAGTTGGGAGTGGGTTTCAGGTAACTCATTGTTACCTGCATCCACACAAGGAAACCTGTAGTATCCAATAGAGAAAGAGTTTAAAATAAAACCTGGCTTGATGGAGGGTTACAGACATTGGCTCCCCAAAATCTTTTTATGTACAGAAGAAATAAAAGTAAGGCTTGAGGTTGAACCAATACCTGGTCCTGAGTGTGTAAAGTGGTGCCCAAGGGTATCCTGTGGCAGATGACCCTGATGCCAGTGTTCCAGGGACACCCTTGGCACCCAGGCTGTAACAGGTCCTGCACAGTGTCTGGTCACCAGCTGCTGCCAGGGAGCTGCTGCTTCCTCATCCCAGCTCCAGGGTTAATCAGCCAGGCTTGGAGGCCAGTCAACATCAACAGACTAGAAAAGCACAGGGGAAAAAAAGGCAGCAGAGTTGGTGCTTTATGGATACCCAGAGAATCACAACTCCTTTTGCTACTCCCTGGCAGCACCACTCTCTGTTGGGCTGCATTTACAAAGGGGAGTAGCACTAGGAAATACATCCTGTGCTAAGGAATGTTGATCCACTTAGAGCAATTCCATGAAAAGCATCAAACCGGGGCAACTCCCTTAGTAATTTCCAGGAAAGACAAACAGCAACCAACTCACCTCTACATCCAGCTCCAGGATGTCAGCAGTTCTGTTCAGGAGGGACCCAATGTTGGGCTTGGTTCTCCCAAAGTCTCCGTGCACAAACTCCTTAATGTAGCTGGAAAACTCTGGCTAAGGAGAGGTGCATTCCACACCAAAGAAATCAAAAGGGGGGGAAAAAGTGGTTTTTCTACTCCTAAGTAATTTCTTAGTTAATATCCTGTTGAGCCCATACCTTTCTTTAGGAGAGCACCTAATTCCTGGCTTCTGACTCTGGTGCCAAAAACTGCACTGCTGACCTTTACTTTGTTTCATTCCAAACTGAGTAGTGACTTTAGGACAAAACTGTAACCTGTAAGTAGCAGCAATCTCCAGTCTGCACTGAAGTACGTGAAATATTGTGGAAAAGGTAATTTTTAGAGGTGAAAAGTTTTCAGTTAAATTAGAAAAAGGTAAAGTGTATTTTAACCAGCACAATTTTATATCTGTCACATACTTAATGAAAACTTACTAATGCAAAACTGTGACCTAAAAGCAAATCTTGTGCAGAGACACCACTGTGGAAGAGCAGGGGTTTCAAAACACTGCAGCCACCTGAGCAGGGAGCTTCCCCTTATGCTGGGGAAGATGAAACAGGAAAGCCTTATAAATATGATTGTCTGGCAAAAGATTTTGAGAATATGGAAACTATAAGTGAGATTGAAATGAAAGCAAGCTTTGAGATCCCTCAGTTACTGAACAACTGGAAAACAATGGTGTGGCTGGCTGAAGGTAATCCCCTTTTGATGGAACAACACCCTCTGCTTGCAGACAGGCCCAAGGGTCAGAGCAGACCCTGCAGCTTGGCAGAAGGGGTCCAAAGAGGAGTTTTTAGGGTTTAAAATGTAACACAGTAACACAGTGATTCTTATAGGCTGTATGGAAATGCTATAGGATTTGTATCTTGTACTAGATTGGTTAGTGAGAAATAGAATATTCAACACAGAAGAAAATTTATTGTATTGTAACGGGAACCTCACTCTCTTATCCTTTCTTTTACTCTCTCATTCTCTGTACAACACTCTTGCCTTCTCTCTCTTTAGCTCTCTCTTTACTTCTTTTGGGCCTGAGCTGTGGCTGGCAGCTCCCAGCAGAGCCCTGGAACCCCAAGAGATCTCTCATCTCCATCCATCCCTCCCAACCATCCCACCCCCGTCTCTCCCACTCCCTTATCGCAGCCAGTGCCCCAGGAGCTGCCTGGGCCCTCCCTGGCAGGTTGCAGGGTGCCAGGATACGTTCCTGCCTGTGTCCTGAGGTGCAGCCTGAAGTGGTGCTGGTCGATGTACTCGCTGCTCATGCTGTGGATGAGGCGGCAGCGCACGGCCAGCGGCCGCCGGTGCAGCACCCGCAGCGGCGTCTTCTGCTCCAGCCTCAGCTCCTGGGGCAAGGAGGGACCAAAAACATGAGGGAGGAAAGGTGAAAGGCTGCCTGGATTGTAGGAACTGTGTGTGGTGTTAACTGGTCCCATCTCATTTACCTTGTGCTCAAGATCAGTTAAGTTGCTTTATCAGTCGAGTAATCTCAAGGCAAGACCGGTTTTTTCCAAGTTTATCAAAGGAAAAAGGACAGCCCTCTCAGAGGCCTCGCATGAACACAAACTAATGGAATGACAAATACAGAGGAATAACCTTGAAATCTCCATAGCCCTTTGCTGGAATGACTCCAGGATTCAGCAGCTCACTCAGAGCCTCAGGGCAATCAGAAGAAAAAAATAAATCCCACCCACAAAATGCTTTGTCTAAACTACAGCCAACCCCCTAGAAATAAAAGTGAGGGGGGAAAACCTTAAATGAGATTAGATCTCAGAACAGTCTTTTCAAAAGTTCATTCCCAACTCCCTTTCCCAAAGGAGAGGCAGCAGTGTGAAAGGCAACTTGTCAGGAGCAAGGGAAGCTGAAGGAAGAACTTCCCAGCAGTTTTTTGTCTGCCTGAGCTGTAATGCTTTAATGGCTTTGAGAATGAGCTCATGGGCAGCTCCTATAGCAAATGGTGCAACACACCAAAAACTGAACCCACTTCTCCATCAGGCCAACATCTGGAGAAAGTTCTCATTCCTGCACATGCTGAGCCTTCCTGAGGCCTCTTTGCCCTCTTGACGAGACATTTCCACCTCCAGAGTGCTGCAGCTGTGGGAGAATGGCTTTGGAGCAGAACAAAAGAGCTTTTCTGCTCCTTTCACTTACACAGGACATTATTAAGGTAACAAAGGGGTGGAGATTTCCTCCTCTCCCAGGATTTGGTCTCCTGGAAGGTAACATTACACAAGGATTTGTGTTCTCTGCTGACAGCCAACCCTCCATGTCCTGCTGCAGTGACTGGTGAAGGAAGGAAGGGTGGTATGGAAGTCCCTATAGCAAGAGAAACCCTGATGATAAAAAACAAAACCAGAACAAAAACCAAGCACAGAGCAAGAGGTAGCCCCATGGATGGCCTGTATTTAACCCTTCCCTAGGGCACCAGGACAGGTTCTGTTTAAATGAGCAACAAGAGCTCCTGCTACCTTGATATCATCGAGAAACGCGATGTCCTCCCTCTCTATCGCTTTGTCTGTCCATATCAAGGCACTGTAGGTCTTTGTCTTCTCCTCCTCACCTTCCTTCATACGACCAATTGCCTCTCTAAACAAAAGAAATTAATTACTCACTTAACAGAAGCATAATTATACAAGGCAGTGAGCAAGAGCACTTCCCAATTCCCGAGCGCCGCTTTGAAATCCCTCGCCGGCGACCATGAACACTGACCTGGTGACAAGCTGCAAATCTCGAACTTGTATTTTGTCTGAAGAGTCATTAATTGCCTGTGACAGTTAAAGAGAGCACTCAGTTAGCAGAGCTGCTGGGCTGCAGGGGCAGCACGTGCTGCACACGAGGTTTACCTGCTGCAGCCTCTTCATCTCCTGGGCGCTGAAACGGATCCTGCGGGGATTCACCAGCTCCATCGCAAAGGGCCGTCCTGGCACGGGCACCAAAACAAACACACAGACACCTTGTTCCAAATTAATGCTGCATTTCCACAGCCAGGCTGCAAGGTGTGAACACTGCTGCTGCTACACTAACAGGGACAGGACTGGCAGGCTCAGGGATGGAGCATCAGATGCAAGGGAAGAAACAAGGGAGGTTTTTTTGGCTACTAAACCCCAGTATCAGCAATAAGTGCAAATTATGACTTCCCAGAAGACATCTTGTACAAGTCTGTGCTAATTAAAAAATAAAATAAGAAAAAAAGCTAATTAGCTTATTTTCTGTCACCTACAGCAATGCCCAGGTGCACAGCAATGTTAAATCCCACTCCCTCAGCTCAACATCTGTTGCCAGAGTTGTAACTCTGTGCTCAGGGCCAGGACAATCCCCAGCACAAGCCATGCCAAGAATCACACTACAGATCAGACAGCTACTGAAACACAGAGTTGTTCATTTTTACTTTTTCTTTTCCCTCCTCCCTTGGCTACAGCAGCTCCAGTGTGTTGGAAAGCAGCTGACCTTTAGAAAGGACTCAAGTTCAAAAAGAAAACAATTCCCTCATGCAGTCACAGTGAGGGAATCTGAAGGATCCAGCAGAAAACAAGAGAGGAGTCAGTCTGACATAAATGCCTTAAAAGTAGGGAGTGAATAAAATAAAATACTTTTAACTAACTATGCCTTCCCATGCAGCCAAGGCCACTGAAAAAGGGCTGCTGTTTCCAGCTGGTTTTATGAAGCTGTTCACTTTGGGAATAAATATCTAAATTTCACTAAAATGCTTCTGAGATATAATTCCAAAGCATGCCAGGTCACACATTTGGCATTCAGCAGGATCTGTCAGAGGAGCTCCACACACCCATTTTATCTCTGTGATTCACAAGGGGTTTCCCAAGCCTTACCATTGCCTAGTGTCCTCACATCCACGTCTTCTCTTCCAGAGGAACTAAAATTAAAGCCTGTAACAGATTTGAACAGGGCAGGTGAGCTTTTATTTTACATTTTTAACTCTCTCTACAGCTTTTAAAAGGTGAAATACTTTCTTTCTAAAATTGTTTGCAAAATCTGCTCTGTACATTGGAGCCTGCACTTCACAAACCATGGGAATTCCTATTTATTCCCAAGTTTCTTGAAGAGCTATCCCAATTCCTTGGCCTGAATGAGACTGCTACAACCAGACTAATTTATCCACTGGGAGGAGAAGAGAAGGAAGTAACAGGGTTTTTTCCAAGCTATTATTTAATGCAGCTTTTCCTTGGGCCTTCTATGTCTCTCATTCCAATGTGTCAGATGACAAATGATGGGCAGTGATTATTTCATCTGGACAATCCCTGGATGAGCATTTAACCTGTGGAACTTTCTGCACTGAGGAAAATAAATGGCCAGAAACATGAGGGGCTCAAAAGCCAGGCAGATCCTGTGGCAAAAACCTTCTTGGTACAAGTCATTCCATGAATTACTAACAGTGAAGTCTGGTTGAGTAAAACCACTACCACATGAAACCAACATATCTGCACCATCAGATCCACTGAGGAGCTACTTTAGCAGGATGAAAGGACCTAATTACTCCCAGATCACAGCTAAATAAAGTTTAACTTGAAAGGAAACAAGAGGGATAAAGAAACATCTTTTTTTTTCCATTATACTCCCATATTAACAAGAAAAGAGTCTTCTAGTAGTGATGAAATATATGTATGGAAGGAGATCTCCTGAAGACTTACTGTCTGCCTTGAATTCTGCCATCAGATGCTCTGAAATCAATTCTTCCACTGAAGATTCCAGCTTCCTCTCCCCATCAATAATCCAGGGAGTCTGAGGTAAATTCCTGGAATATTTGTTGTATCTTCCTGTAAAAGACAACCATGGTACTCCTAACCCATTCCACAGCCATGAGTGAAAGCTGCACTCTTGCCCAGCACATTTCACTTCCATGGGAGCTTTGTGCAAATTAATTGAGAGCTCCAGATTGTTTTATGGCAGGAGCATGGCACCAAAGTGTGGGTCCCACGTGGCTGTGTCCAGGGAAGGGGCAGGATGGACACTGAGGGTGGGCTTGGAGAGCCTGTGGGTGCAGCCCTGCCCCCAGGCACCACCTTCCTGTGTGAAATAACCCAAACCAGCTCTGCCATTGCCTCAGGGCTTAAGAAAAGAAACCCACACTAAAATGCTTTGGCTCTCTACAAGGAGCACCATGCAAGGAGTGAAAAGTCCCCATAATAAGTGAGGAATGGCAGGAGTCTTGGGAAGGTGCCAGGTAAAGAGATTGGCATCTTTGGGTGGTGCCAGGGATGTTTTGGTGGCATCTCCATGGCAGGCTATAACACAAGAACAAGCCTGACATGGATGACCAATATGAGCTTTTTTATGGACAGGTTTGATTAGAACTGAAAATATTCCCAAAGCAAGGAAATAATCAAGGCCAAGGAGCTTAAACTGCTTTCAACCTGAAACCTTGCAAATAGAAAAGCAAAGGAACTCAGAGCAGCTCTGTGCATTGCTTTGGGCCTCTGACATCTCAGGGTTTGAGGTTTCCTATCATATTTTCCTATCTCGAACAATGTTTCCTTTTTGCAGTTTGAGCAGCAGAAAAAGCCACACAAACAAATGGGGAAACTGAGTAACACACTGAGTTTTACTGAGGTAAATAATGAAAGTAGGGTGACTCATCACACTGGAGCCTCACACTGCTAAATTCTCTTTCCATAAACCAGAAAAAGGAGAGAATTAGATTTGCTTTTTTTTTTCCCTCTCAGCTCCCCATTCTAATAATTTTAACTTTTGAACTGAACAAGAGTAGGTTTAAAAAAACAGAAGGTGTTTTTTGGTTTGACAGCCCCAAAATCCTTAAAAAAGGTTGGGGTGTAAACAATAAAGGTAAGGTCAAGAGGACAATGTTGTACTTACAAATTAAGATCCCATCTCATTTATAAAAGCAAAATATCTGGACTGTACTCAATAAATTCTATTCTGGATTTAGGTCTTCAAAAATTAAACACCTGCCTGGATTGTTTATTGGAGCAAAATGTAAACTATAAATAAAGACCAGTATTAAATGACAGGCAGAAAGGGCAAAACCTCTGTTTTGCTCTTCATACTGTTGAATTCTGACAAAAACTACCCAATAAAGTAACTTAAAATAAAGCAGTAGTTTTGGAAAAGCCTAAAAGGAACTGGATGTCTTGGATTCACCAAAATGTACATCTGGCTGTCTAATCAGTAATTAAAAATAAGGAATGGTTTGTGTAGAACATCACCTACCCTGCCATTCACTTTTGCACTTTTTCATTTTCCATTTCTTTATATTCGGGATTTTTATCAGCACAGTGTGTTGGATTTAAATTAAAGGTTGGGTTCTTTTCAGCAATAATCAGTTTGCATGTACTATTTTAAATAAGCTGTTCCTACAAAGGACGAGGAGAGTGGCAGGTACTCTGGCAGGCAGAGGATAGAAAAGTTCAACCATCTCAACTCAGGATGTTGCACTGCCTGAACTGTTGCTGCTGTCTCACCCCAACCTTTATAAATCCCATTAAGATTTGCAGGTTTGGATGGGATAGTGAGCAGAGAAACCCAGATGGTGAAAACCTCTGAATCCAAATCAAAGCCCAGGGAAGGGAACTGCACTGCTGGGAGCTTCTGGTGTGCAGGTGCCTTTCTCAAAGCATTATTCTGAGGGGATCCGTAATTTCTAACTTTTGACAAAACAATATCTTCAGCAGAGCTCAAATATAATTCTTCCCCTTTCAAGGCACTCTTGGACAGAGCTGGGTTTGCTTCTTTGCTCCTTATACCTCATTACAGGGATTAACAAACAGCAAGAATGCTCTGGGCTCTCGGGGCAGGGTTACAAAGTTCCCTTCAAGACAAGACAGCAGCAAAGAATGGGATCACTTTACCAGCCACAAAAACTGCACCATTATTGCACTGGATTTCCAGAGCATCACAGAGGTTCTTTGGTGAGCTTGGGGGACATGGAAAATGCCTGTATTAAAAGAAAAAACAGAGTAAAGCATTATCACTACCAGAACATGATGGAGCATCACCAGAGCAGTAAAAAGTGCCTATTTTGGCTGCCCACTGTGTGTGATTTTTTAACCATTTAACAGCACTTGGTGTTTTCTTGAAACTCAACTCCTAACATTTTAGAAATTTAGAAATATGGGAGTATTTCTTGTAAAGGGAAGCTTACATTACAAACTCTAAAGTTCAAAATCATCCTTTTAATTAAAAGATCAGGAGTGATTTTTCTATTACCAGAAAGAAAACATGTTTTAAGCAGTAAACCAACAGAATTTAAACAATCAAAAGTTCTTTTAAAGCCACCACACACCCACTGGATATTTTCCTCCCCTCCCTAATTCTATATTAAAGCACAATACTAAGAAATAGTTTCAGTATTTACTTACTTGAGAAAATCCTCTTCTTTTATCCTCTCCAGGGCTTTTATAACTGCCATTCTGGTGAAAACAGACTGCACAGTGAAATAAAAAAATGAGTCAAGAGCTAAGAAAAGCAAGGAAAGGATATGCCTGAAGAAGAAAAAAAGCACTGAAACTTAACACTGTGCAGTTCTGTCACTGCTCACCTGGGAGCCCAGGTCCAAATTCCAAAACAGTTTAAAACCAGAATCCTAAATCCATGAACAGAAAGAAGAAGTCCAGGTTCCTCAGCCTCCCCTCCCAGCCATGTGCCCTGAGGACTCTCTGCTGAATGGTGTTTTTAATTTAATAGTGTCTTTTTTGCAAACTGGATTGGGGAATTTAGGAAAACAAACAAACAAACAAATAAATAAATAAACCCTGGGTGATTGTTTGGGACAATTAAAATCTCGGCTCTGGAGAGTTCCTGGGTGTCTTCAGGAAAGCTGCTCTTTCTCCTTCCAAGCATAAATCAGAGATAACAGCACTTCCCTTCCTCACAGAACAGATGAGCAGGAAAGCCCTGAAAGCAGCAGCAGGTTTGAATAACTATCTACACAGACAGCACAGACATTTTCCCTCAGAAGCCAGTTTTTACACCACTCCTCTGATTAACACAGCCCTTGAAGCCCAGCTTCTTTGTGAGGACAAACCTCTGACAGCTCTTCAGAGCTGGTATTTTTCTTTAGATTCCCCTACATTTTGTTGCCTGTGTGGATTTAACAGCCAGGTCCTGCTGCTTTAGCTCCTTATGTGGGATTTCCCCCTTTTCAAGGGCAGCAATGCACAAGCAGTGAGTTATAACAATACAACTCCAAAAAAAGAGTGCTGCTTATGGGTCAGGTGGAGCAGAGTCAGCACAATTCCTGGGCCAGATCTGCCTCTGCCAAACGCTGGCAGATCTTCACCAGAGAGAATCAAAGGCCTTGCAGTGGCCTCTGACAGGAGTTACTCTTCTCCCTCTGATCACACCAACTGTCCCACTTGCAGCAGCTTCCCTCTGGCTGGTGTTTCATCCTCGTGTGTCCCCTTTTCCATCAGTGGCTGTGAGCCTGCTCAGGGTCTGCAGCAAGTGCAAGGTCCCTTTTCTCTCCCCCTCCTCCAGAGGCAGGCAGGATAAAACCATCCTGCATGTATGCTGGCTTTCATGGAGATCAGAGCACATGGAAACTGCAGTGTGATCATCTCCCTTCTGGCTGCTGAGTCTCATCTTCACAACGTGGCTTATCTGAACTGCTTCACCCACAGAGAGCTGGAGGATCACCTTTCATGCCACTTTTAATGCATGACAATCAAATTCTTACATCTTAAGGGAGGTATTTACAGAGAACCTTCCCAAAATGATGGCCTTTGGACAGCCTGGGAAGTGAACAACCTAAACAAAAGCACCGAGCTCCTGGTTTTCCTAAGCTGAGAATTGTGAAGTGAATAAAGGACACAACTTTATTTTCACACAATTGGAAACCAGAGAGCTTTTTGATGGAGGAAAAGCAGACACTGAGCACTGACTGAATACCCAGGTAAGTTGTAGGCTACTGCTGTGAAATTCTGAATGCCAGAGCAGAAATACAGTGATGAGATCTTACCTGTTTGTTCTTCGCTGGTTTGAAACAGTCTGGGCAGGCTGTGGCTCTAAACACAGAAATGAAAATCAGCTGCTCCTCTTACAGAGAAAGAAACAGACAGACTCACAAGCACAGCATGTCAATGGTTTTGTACACATACATCCAGTGTCTCATTCCACAGCTTAGCTCAAAGTTTCTAATTCCCTTTATCCTAAAAATGGTGCAGGATGTGCATTGCTTGATCCAGGGAAATCATGGACAAAGCTCTGCTCTCTGCTCTGACCAGCAGCATGTCTCAGATTTGAGATGGGATGGAAAAGCACACAAATGTAGCTTTCAGTCCTTTCCAATCCTTCTCAATAAAGGCCATGATTAATATTTGAAGTTTTAGGCAAGATCCACTGACACCCTGAAATCTGTACTTGCCTCTCTCAGACAACACCCACCACAAACCTGAGATTCAGTGTCCCTTCTGGAGAGGAAAATTCAGTTTCCCACTGAAAAAGTAACCCCAGGTGCTCACCACGAGCTGTGCTGTGCCTGTTTGAAAGGAAACTTGGCTGTTTCACGAAAGTGAAAGCCCAGTCAGTGAAACAAACCCTTTTTCTGAGCAGTGTAGAGGAAGCTGCTGTTCCTATTAGTGCATTTCTGTGTATGCAGGCAGAGATGATTTCTGGATTTCTGTGTAAGCAGGCAGAAATATTTCTGACCTCCAACCCAAGTTACCATGCTGGTTACTTGCTGGTGCTTTTCAACACCTCTGTGACTCGCTCAGACTCTAAGGAAGCAGGTTTTGCTGTTTTGCTGTTTCTATACAAACAGTCTGTGACCCAAAGCAATGCAAACTCCCTCTTCCAAAATTCCAGTGTCACCTCACCCTTAAATATGAACTGATAAATGCCAATTCAATCTTCCCTGTGAAACCATAGCACACCTACCTCCACACAACTGTGCAAGAAAAGGTGAGAAACTGCAGTGGAAATCCACTCCCAAAGCACACCTGGAGCTCTCCAGGTTGAGACAAAGTCCCACTTTGTTCCACAGAAACCATGACTGTCATTGATACTGTGATAATTCCCAAATTCACCATATTTCCCTGCAAACCAAAGCCCTAACTCAGAATGTGCCCAGAGCCAGCCACTCCCACAGGCAGAATGTCCTGGCACCTCAGGAAGTGCTGGGTAATTAAATCAGGTGATGTGCTGCACTTCAGAAAGTGTCTCAAGCCTTAATTGCTGCTTAAGTGAGCTACAAAGAGGAGGCAAATAAAGGGATATTGTCAGGTCACATGGAATAACCTGAGTAATTGCAAAGTGGAATGGAACTTCCTTACAGCTTTCACCTCTACAGCTGCTCTGCTTGGAGCACTCACACTGGCACCATAACATGCTCAACAGCAAAATTCATGAAATGCCAGAAAAAAAAGGTGGAAGGATGAGCAGAAAATACCAGTGAAGAGATTTCAGAGGAAAGAAGTAAAAATAAATAAATTAGAACAAAAAGGTGCAGGATGGACAAACACTTCAGTTCTTTACAGGATTGCAGCAATCATTATTTAGAACAGTAAAATTTTCTCCCCCTTTTGCCCAGTCTGGAAGAAGCTGGAAAGGAAAGATGTTCAGCAAACACTGGTAACAATTGTCCCTAAAACTTCCACTCCCTCATCCCCACCTCAGGACAAATAAAAGATGCATCTGTGGAAAACCAAGAAGGTGGTGGATTGAGCACTCAAAGATCACAAATTGTCAGAAGAGAAATCAGGAGATAAATAAAAGGCTGCAAGAGAAATCTGCAGTCTCAAGAAATGAATTCACATTTCAACAGAGACGTCTCTGCTTCCTTCCATGCTGAGATTTCACTTGCAGGAGGTGCAAATTAACTGAGTGAAACTTTAGGTTTTCCAGGAAGCATCAACAAACAGGAAGAGTGACCCTAATTTTCCAGAATATACTACAGCTAATTTTGAGAAATCAGATGAAATGGCAGCTGAATTCACAGAACTGTTTTGCTGCTTTGTGTACAGCGGTGCCCTGCTGGGCCAGGCCAGGGCTCTGTGCAGTGGCCAGGGAATTTCTGTCTGTTTTCATCAACCAGCTAAGCTGGATTAACTCACTTCAAAGCCTTTCCTCCTGTCCATGTGTCCTACAGGAGCAGGAAAACTTAGGTATGACCTCAAAAGATTCCCCCACCTGCAATTACATTGTTCACATTTTTAAAAATTATACACTTTGAGGAGGGCTGAAATTGAAGAACTTATCTGAATGCCCTCCTTCCAGTTCAAATCAGAATTTCAGATTTTTTTTTTTTTATTAGCAGAATTAACCAGAGATGGTTTAACTTCAAGCTCTGCAAGTTCACGTGGACATGAGGAAATCTAGATGCAGGCCACATTCTCGTTTATAAACACTGCATATTGTCCTGTGTAACAAATCAAACCAACAACATTGCACAACATTTAGATAAAGATCTTTTGTTACATGTAGAAACTTACAGGAAATGGCACTCCTCGTCTGTTTCTGGGTGAGCAAAGACCACACTAACTTCAAACAAACTCTAAATTAAAAAAGAGAAAAAAGAACAAGGAGGAGGTAAGGGAGGACATTCTCAAGCACCCTCATTGCAGTTGTAGGAAAACAGCAGAGACAAAAGAGGCATAACCCATCCATTTATGTTCAAAGACATTGCAAGGTGTGCCAGAGCAGCATTTGCCTTGCTGAAGCCACCAAGGATGACATGAGAGCCCTTCAGAGGCACGAGTGCCCTGCCCTGGTGCCATCCTGAGCAGGCTGAGGCAGACCCAGGGCTCAGAGCCTATTACACACCCCAGAGCCCTCCCAGGAGGGCAATAGAGATAAAAACCCTGCAGGATCACCACGGTGAATTCTGCCAGGGGTTCTTTGCAGTGCCTGCATGGCCTTGGGGCACAGCAAGGCAACACATCCTGGAGGACTGACAGCAGCCCAGGAACTCCAGTGCAATCTCAATTCCTGCCCCAATTCCCTCTCTGGCCCTGGGCAAACAACGCTCATTACTTGTGTTGCTCAGATAGCAGAACACCTCAGGAGGGCCATTGAAAAGATTGGCTAATATTCAAGGGCCTTGTAGATAAAGGGCACTAAAAAACAACTTTGGTGGTACAGGGAAGGCTGGGGTGGCTCCTGCCTGAGTGGTGGGGAGCTTGTGCTAACTCTGTGTGAGAGGAGTTTGGCTCTTCTGGATCATCTTCAGAGTGACTGAGTGGGGTTTTATTCACTGAGACAAAAGGGATGCTTTCAATTAGCACTCCTGGGAAAACACAGCCTGTAATTATTATGGAAGCTGAGAAATCAACATAAAGACTAAGTGAATCTAGTCCTGGGGTCAGTGGTCATAGCTGGTCACCAGCTATGGCTGGTGACAAGTGAAACCTACAGCCAGCCACAGCTGCAGAAAATTTACATTCAAGACATTTCAAGGTGCTGCTGAATTTGGCAGCACCTGATTGCCATGTTCAGTCAGTGCCTCTCAGAAAGATTTTAAGGATATTAATCAGAATCTGCAAGCTGGAAACAGTTTGAAAAAAACCATTTCCACTGCCTACTTTGGCTATTGCAGGTCCCAACAAGCCCATTTCTCGTGTTCATTAGAGTGAGCAAGGACCAGTCTTTGCTCTCTCAGTACATTTCAGACATTTATTTTATCCACAGAACCTGAACAAGTGCTGGCAGTGAGAGCAGAGCAGGGAAGGAATGTGGGAGCATTCCTCAGCTCTGCAAACAGGGATCCTGGAAAGGAGACAGCTGGAAAAGCCTCATTAACAAAAGGAGATGGCACAAGAGATTTAGCACAGGCCTGTGGTGCTTTCAGGAGATGCAAAGATCTGTGTGTACAAAAATGAACATTGGGCTCTCAGGACTCCCACTTGGAGAGCTCTGGTAAAAGACCTTCCCTACAGTGAATTTAGGAGGCACTCATCTTTGTTTCTCTGTTAATAAGGAAAGAAGGATACATTTTTATTTCCCTACCATGTGTATAAGTGCATAAATACACACACACCCCCCCATATGAAAAAAGAATGAAGAAACAAAAGTGTTGTTATTTATACAAAACCTTTCCATCAGCAGGAACACCCAACTCTTCTGCCAGCTGGGGATGAATAATCCACTTGTAAGCTTCCTTCAGCTGAACAATGTCATCCTTAGCGAAGGGAAGGCCCAGATTTCTGAATCACAAAGAAATAATAACTTGCACAGGGGTCTGTCAGAAATAGATACATGACATACAATATTGCAGGAGGAACTTAAGTAGCTACTGCCAAGTAAAATGGATTATTTGATTTTCTGTGCACTGAGGAAACTGATGCCAGAGCTTGCTGGGAGATCAGAAGTTGCAAAAGTCTTTCCAGAGGCTGCCCAGAGAAAGCTGAGGAAGGGAGAGATGCATTTCAAACCCCTTGTTTGGGAGCTTAGAGAGCAAAGAGATAAGAAACCCCAAGTGAGGTCAAACCAGGTAAAAAAGAAAAAACAAAACACACAAACCCAGCTGCCACCTTATTCTTTGTAGGCATCAGGTAAATGGGACTATAAATCAGCATTAATGTAGAGAAATGGTGTCTGTATGAAGAGCTTTGTCAGACAGACAGACAGACAGACAGACAGCAAGAGCAATGGCTCACCTCATCTGCTGCTTCACCCCCAGCCAAGCAGCACGCTGCAGGTCACCAGCCATGCCCAGGGAAAAGAGAGGAAAAAACAAAAGCAAGTGAAATTCAGAACTGCCAACAATCTGAGAGACTCTTTGCAAAGGGAGAAGTGTTTTTAAAATTCCTGACCAAAAAAAAAAAAAAAGTATCAGGAATTTAGCTTTTGCTTCAGAAGTGGAAAGATGGGATTGCAGTGAGTTTTAATTTCTAAGACATCACTTTGCTCTTCACATCAAATCCTATCTGGGTTAAAAAAAAAAAAAAAGAGGCATCATTGAACACTGAAACTTGCTATTAATACTGTAACTACAAAAAGACTCTAAGTCATCAGTTATATTCTATGTAAAAATAAAAAAACAAGTGTCTAAATGAGTGGGATATAAAAGCTGATTGGCTTTTATAATTAATAAACCCCCAAATTCAGCTATCATCCATTATAAAAAAATGGAATTAAAATATACTTGGTCTTACTTGGTAATCACAGAATTGCACCTAACACAATTTAGGTGAATAGGCTAAATATGGAAAAGGGGAGGAACAGAAGGAATAATTCTAGAAATCAGAGGGAACTTTCAGTACAAATGCTCGAGTTCACTAACAATTAGTAAAAAGAGAAAAACTCCCCTCAAAACTTCCTACAATGAAGTACAACAACAGTTTCAGTTCTCCTCTACTCAAAAAATACACTAGGACTGGCAGGAAAGGACTTAAATAATTCAGCCTGTGTCACCCTCCCCACTGGAGACAAACTCCAAAATCAAATTGTTTGATTTGAATCCACCACAATGTAAGAGTTTTCAGTCTGTAGGCTGCAGGCTTTTAAACCCCTTCCCCACATTTTTCATGCACTTAAAGAATAACCTCCCCCAAACTCTGCTGAGAGAATCACTGTGCATTGTCAAGGAAATAATTCTGAGGAAGAGGTTTGAAAGCAGCTCTCAAACTTCAGGATCACATGGATATCAGAAGGAACCACACCTTTCTATGATGATAAGGAACTCAATCAACAAAGTAAGTCTTTTATCCTTCATTTGGTACACCTAAAATAATGAGGGAACCCTAAAAACAGTGCTGGAAATGAAGAGGGAAGACATGAACTTTGTTAAATCCACGATACACAAACCCTCACAGTGCTGAACAAAACAATTGCAGTTGCAGTGATGAAATGCTGTTTGCTCAAATCCACTGTGATTCATTGTCCTGCATTTGAAGACAGCATGAGTAAGGCTGCTTCACTTGAAGCACACTGTAATCCTGTTTGCATAATAACCCAGATAAAATCATAAATAAAAATAGCTTCAATTGAAATTCCTTGAACGTAGCTCTGAACTACAGGATGTGACAACCACAGAGCTGGGCCTAGCAAGCTGCATTTGACAAATGCCAATTTACAGAGAAACCTCTCTCATGCCTTGATTTAGAGCACTTGCAGGTTTGGGATGTCTGGGACTCAGGGGGAGGCTCATCACACTCCTCATCCCTGTTTTCTTGGGATAAAACTACAAAATAGACAAAACTTCTGCATGGGAGTAGCTATGCTAAAATGGGAGCACAGGTCAAATTTCATCTCCTCTCTCTCTTGACTTGCAAGTTGAAAGAGAATTAAAGAAATTACTTTTCCCCTCCAATTAAGGGGAAACAATAGATGAGGGCACTGCAAGCACAGAAGCCAAAAAGATCCCAAATTCCAAATCACATCCAACCACCAAGGCAGCCAAACCCCTGCACTCCCTCCCAGCTGAACATGGAGCAGGGGATCAGATCCCTCTCCTTCCTAATTACTTCATGTTTGTGAGGAGGTTTGAAAATGAGAAATGCTCATTACAGAGCTGAAGCCTGCAGGGCAATGCTCAGCAGCAAACACATCAGTGGCACACAAGGCACTTATTGATCAGGAGCTGCAGGACGGGATTCTGGTGCTGTCTGAGGGGCAACAGCTGAAACCCCAGGTGCAATCCCAGCCCAGCATTGCTCCAGTGCCTCAGCAAAGAGCCTGGAGATGGGGAATTCCAGGATGAGGCCCAGCAGCCTGCAGGGAGCCATGAGTGCAGATGTTATTTGCATCAATGTCCTTGCAGCAGGCACAGGATGATGGATCAGGAGTGATCTGCCACCCTTCTGAAGGGCACCCCTCACCTCACATCCTAATAGAGCTGTCTGACAGGAACCTGGGACTCCTGGATTTATGATTTATTTCAATCAAATCTGCTGCTTGTGGAAGAGGCAATTGCTTCCTTGCATCCCAGACACAAATACTATGCAAATGCAGATTTTATGTCCTGCTCCTCTCCAGCTCCCCTCGTACCTTTTACACTTGGCAGGATGACAAGTGTCCTAATTAAATGGGATGAAGGTAACACTCAGAGGCAGTTTCTGATTTTATTTTTGTTAAAAAAGATGATGGAGGAAATCTGTGTGTCACACCAGAGGGCAGTGGGAGAGAGGCTGCCTTTGGGTGCTGTTTGATGACAGGATTCCACATGTTCTTGTACACAGCAGGTCAAAGAATTAAAAGCAGAATTTAACAAACAGCCTCTTTTCAGCACAAAGCATGATGAGATATTCTGATACCTGATTTTGACATTTTCAAACATTTTCACATACTGTGTGTTGCTGCTTTTCTGTGGCTGTAAAACAGCTTCTCACCTATTTATTTTTGAGTGATAAACTTAGAAAGGAGGTAAATAAGGTCCATGATTTTTAAAATTCTTCTTCCATCATCACCCCTTTTCTTCCTCCTCCATCACCCCTTTTCAGCCCTGCTGCTGGAGCAAACATGATGCTTGAGCATTTGACAAGAGTGGAAGGATGGAGTAGAAGGGACAGCAGGAACTTCTTCATCCAAACCTTCTCCTACCTGAACTAAAAGTGCTTCCAAAGGGAACAGAGCCAGTTTTGGAGTTCCTACTCACTCATTTCTCGCCACCTATTGATGTGTGGGACACAGAACAGCCCTGACTCCCCTGCTGTCCCCAGAACTGCAATGCAACATCACCCTCTGCCGAGGCTTCTGCAAACATCAGCTGCTGCAGCACCTCAGCTCGGCCGGGCTTAAAGCTGCACTCAGACTCACTAAAGCCTGACCTAAGTCTGGGGGCTGCCAGAGCACCACAGGCATCCCAAGCTCACCGGGCCTGGAAGTGCTTTTTGACAGACCTCACCTTTTGGAGGCATCAAAGCCCAAAGTGGGAATCAGGGAGGTTCAGGAAGGACAAAGCAAACACACCTGGCTGTGCCAAATTTAGGATGGGAAGAAGAGAATCTTATGCTGCAGAGGATTTAGGAGTGGAATATTTGATAGCTGTGACAGTGGCACTTGCTAAGAGCACAAACCAGCACCACAAGGGCGGCAGATTATTCACCAAACTGTGTGGGAGCAGAAGGGATCTCACCACAGCTCTACACAGAAATCCAACTCCATCTTCTCTTCCTTCTGCCTTCTTCACTGCAGCTTCCACCACATCTCAGCCACTCCTGCACAGATTTACCTGCTGCCCTTTAAAACACCACTTTTACATCACTTTCAGAACAGTACTTGTGTTTTATTTTACATCAGAAAGCAGACGAAGATTGCAAAATATCTCACAACTAAGTGTATTTTCCCATCATTTAAAATGCTGAACACTTCAAGAGCTCATCCTCAAATTCCTTCATTTGCATTTTGCACTAGCAATTACCCTTTATCCCTGGAAAGGGATCAGCTGGGCAGTTCTGAGAAGATCCACAAAGCAGGGCTGGCATCTGCACCTGAGGGTTTTAACAAACTCCTTTAGGTCTTCAGATGGAAGGCAACTCCTGGGCTATCTGAAAGCTGAAGTGACTCAGGCCCTTTATTAATTACAGTAATGCTCACCCAGAAGGAAGGGGAGAGCAGACTTCATTTCCAGCATGGGCTTCTGGGTTTTTTTTAACAATAACAATTAAAAATCAAACCACCTCCAGCTCATGCATTCCACAGTTGCTTTCTTAAATATGTATTTAATTATTTAAGTTGTTATTTAAGTTACTTACCTCCCTGACAGACAGCTGTGGGGGCAGTGACACAGAAAATACAAAACTGGTGAACTGGTAGTCAGCAGAATTCACTTTTTGGCACACCTGTAAGAGAAGGAGCTTAGTGTGAAACCACAACAATGGGACTGAGCTGGTAATTTTTGTTCTAGAATAATCACTGTGAATTGATGTTGTAACAGTCTCAGAGAGATGCTAATCATACATACCAAAATAATCACTAACAACTTGTTGAAATACAAGCTTTTCTGTCCTGTTAAACAAAGTTACTAATCACCAGTATCCTTGGTGCTTTGAAACAACCAAACTCACTCTTTCAAGGCCAGGACCAATTGTATATTGAAATTTTGGGTGGAATCAGCATCTCAGAGAAGGAAATTTCTGTATAAATAAGTAGGTTTTGGGGTGCCTTAACCAGTGCTGTCAGATTTTCCATTCAGAGTAGCTCTGAAACAAGTCTCAGCAGTGGATTCTGTAAAAAGGTACAGATCCTGCCCATGGAAACAAAAAAGAAACAATTATGTCCTGCAGCAACAGAAACTATGTATTGTGCTTTCTGTCTAGTCCCATTTTTGATACATTCCTGCCATTAAATCAAATCCTTTTCAATCAAAACTCTGTTAACAATCTCAGGTGCCAGTGTGAGTTTTCTAGAAGATATTTCAGCTGGAAATATCCAGCTGATATTGCTCACATGAGCAGTACAATTGCTCAGAGATGGCATTTGCAAGGCTCTGTGCCCACATTCTCTCCTAACTCACATTTTCTCTATTATCCACAATGTGCTGCATCACCAAAACATTTTCTTGCCCTGTGGTACTTCATGAAGTCAGGTTCATGCTGTCATTAGAAACATGTGGTGCAGAGAGCAGCACTTGATGGCTCCTCATTTTCCTGTCACATAAAAAGTGAAGAGTTCCTCAGAGGTTTTCCCTGCAAGCAGCTGAACCTCAGGTCACCTCCTAAATCCATGTAACCACGTGGCTGTTGGTCCTTTCCTTGGGAAAGTGGGCTCCCTGCAGTCATCCCACTGCACCTGCACTGCTATTTTATAATAAAAAAGTGCATTTGTGACAAATCCTGGGCAAAATTTGGTGCCACCACCACAGATGCAACTTCCCAGCTGCACTGCTGGGTGTGCAAACCCTGCCCAGGAGCAGGGTGGAGCAGGATTCTGCCATCTACATTTCAAATCTTCAAAATAGGCAAATGTTTTAGTTTGTTGTCTGGTCTCTTTCTTTCCAAAAGAAAAGAGAAAACATTTATTTTGAAGAAACAACAAAAAAACTGCTCGGTGTTTTCACCAGCTCTGTCCTGTAGGCCCCAGCAAACACGAGTTCCAAAGAAGTACCCCAAAAAGTGAAAAATGTACCTTTTTAACAAAGTCAGGCTCACAGAACTCCTGGAGAATTCCCAAACACACGTTGCAGACCCTCCCAGCAGAGCTGTCCAGGGCAGCATTCCCAGCATTCCCAGTGTTCCCAGTATCCCCAGCTGGGGGGAGCTGTGGGGTGGCCCCGTTGTGGTTCAGCTCAGCAGCCCCTTCCTCCTGGTGCTCCAGCCTGAGTCTCTTACAAGGAGGGTCAGCCACCTCCAAACACTCTGTGCCCTCCTGTTCCTGGCTCTTCCTCAGGAATTCCTGCAGATCCTTCAGCAGATCCTGGCACAAACAGAGGAAACACAGCCTGGTTTTTGCTCCTCTTTAACACACACCATCCCGCAGGGCAGTGCAATTGTGTTTGCTCCACTTGAGGCTCAGAGGATGTCATTAACAACAGGGAATTCATGCCCAAAAACACCTTTGAGACACAGTTCAACAGCTCCAAGCTGCATTTCTCTCAGAATAGAAATTTCCAGAGAAAATATTGCTGAATAGACTGGTCTATCACCCAAGAACAACAACGTTTTCCAGACCTGGCTTGCAGAAACACTTTTATTTTTGCCCCAACACTATTCCATGAAAAGAGACATTTAGTGCTTTCTTGTCATTTAGATTATGTTGGAATTTAATTCCTTCACCTCAACAGGAACAGAGTCAGCCACTATAATAAAAAGAAGAGAGAGCAGACAAAGAAGAAGTTGGTCACTATAATAAAAAGAAGAGAGAGCAGACACAGGTAGGGGTAAAATGAAACACACAGAGTAAGAACTCTGTATCAGGAGAGAAGCCTTCAAAAACCAACAATTAGCTGCACATCTCTGATTCCTGGAAGGATGAGAGACAAGACATAGCTCAGGAAAAAGGATTCATTAAAAGGATTTCAGTAGGGAAGACAGCAGTTACTGTGCTGTTGCAACTCAGAGGAAAAGCAGGTAGAGATGCAAAAGGATAAAAAATGGTACAATGAATGAACAGGCCTCAAATAACTGATAAAAAATGGAAAAAAGGTGGGGAAGAAAGGTGTTAAAAATGAATTGTGGAGAGTCTAAACTTGAGCAAAGGTAAAACAATCAAGACAGACACAAAGCATAAAGAGAGGGGGTTAGAGAAGCTAAGGAGGATTTCTCTGATTTATCCTCAACCTTTGCCCTGCAATTCTTCAGTTCATCCCCCTACCAAATCTGCATTTTCCCATAAATTTCCTCCCCATTAAAGGCACAAGCAGAGTTTTACATGACTCCTTTTCCTTTCAGGGAAAAGGACAGCAAAGGACAGACCTGTTGTGGGTGTCTGTAGAGCAGCTGTGAGCCCACAGAGCAGAACCTCAGGACACATCGTGGGCATGTGCCAGCATCGAGCAGGAGCTGAACAACTGCTCTGTCCTTCTCTGCCACTGGAGACATGCTGGGCAAGCCTGAAATTCAGCAAAGAGAAAAGCTCAGAACAAACCAACAGCTCAGCTGAGACTCAGCTGCACCAGGTTTAGAGTAACTGGAGTTTTTGTGGCCTCTCTTGGATGCTCATTTGTTTAAAATCACAGGCACAAGAGAAGTGGAAGAACAACCCAAAAAGATCACTGGCTGCAGGAAAAGCTTCTGTATTTGTTGGGTTTTTCCTAGGAAACCTGAACTCAAGTTCTGACAAGGAAATGCTGAGCTTTTGCCCAGTTTTATCTTGGATAAAGTACATGACACACGCTAAACTTCACTGAGTGAAGGAGGGTGGGGCTGAGACATATTAAGGCAAATTTCAAATGGGAATTCCTCCTCAAACTGCAGTGACTAAAGAATCAGTGTGTTAAAATCACAGGGAAAAAATAAGATTTATAAGATAAATAAGATTTATAAATTAAAGACTTATTTCCCCTCTCAGTATAGAACTCATTGTGAGAAATCTCATAATGCTTTTTTGTTTTTTTTAATATCATGGCTAACTTGGTTTCCTGTCATTCTCTCTGCCCTGAACTTTAGGAAAGACTGGTCTTTTTTTTTTTTGTTTGTTTGTTTTTTGGGTTTTTTTGGCCAAAATGTTTTGAACTCAGCATTTTTTTGGAAGAAGAGATAATCCCAGTGAGGTGTTCACCCTCACTGGACATCAAGGGAATTTCAGGAGGCACATAAGGATAACCACAACTGTTCACACAAAGGTTTAATGAGTCCATTGTGGGAATAAACTCAGCAAGGAATTCCACAGCACTGATGAACCACCCGATTTTGCTTTGGGCTCAGCTCCTGCAAGCAACACTGGATACTCTGCTAGTTCTTGTGTCCCAAGGGATGGATTTATCCATGTTCTCCATGGCAGCCACGGCTACACCTGCAATTCCCCGTCCTGCTCAGGAATCCTGCAGCCAGGGAGAGCTTCTGCACCACGGAAAAGTGATTAATTCAGTGAATTTCTTTACTCCCGGATTTGGATGCTTTCGGGTAAAAATCAAGGGTAGTCTGGAAAACTCCAAAGCTGCTTTTAGAGGGAAAGAACAAACACACACAAACGCGATTTTAGGTAACTGCGACCTCAATTCAGCTCCGTGCCAGATGAATTATATACACTTATACTGGCCCGGCGTGGCACACGGGGGTAAATGTGCCAATATTGCACCTGGCACATGGGACAATATTCCACTGGTAAACGTGACAATATTCCACTGGCACATGTGACAATATTGTACCTGGCACATGGGACAATATTCCACTGGTAAATGTGACAATATTCCACCCGGTAAATGTGACAGTCAATATTCCTGACACTTGGTGGCACGGCGAGGGGAGGAACCACGGCCCCGCTCCGGCCCAGCACCTCAGGGCGGAGCTCAGAGCCCTCCATCTGTGAGGGGAGGGGGCACAGGATCTCCGTTCCCATTCCCGTTCCCGTTCCCGCTCCCATTCCCGCTCCCGCTCCCATTCCCATTCCCATTCCCATTCCCATTCCCGTTCCCGCTCCCATTCCGGCTCACCCTCGCTCGGCGGCCCCCGGAGCCGGCACAGACCCGCTCAGCAGAGCGGCAGAGCGCATCGCTCGGCCGGCGCGGTGGGGCACCGCGCCCGTAGGGCGGCTGGTGGAATAGCTCGGTGCTCCCGCGTGGCGCCTGTCGATGGGCGGGGCCGAGCGAGGCCGAGCCCGAACCGAGCGGGGCCGAGCCAGGGTCGATCTTGAGCCGAGTGAGGCCGAAGCGGAGCCGAGCGGGGCCGAAGCGGAGCCGATCGGGCGCGATGGCGGCGACGCCGCCGCCCAAGCCCTGGGAGTCGCGGCGGCTGCCGGGCACCGCCACCGCCTTCCAGTGAGTGCGGGTGTCCCTCCCCGGGCGTCCCCGCCGCGGCAGCCATGGGGCTTCGCCCCCTCGGGCCGGCCGGGCCCGCTCCCCTGGGGCGGGCTCAAAGGTCGGGCCCGGCCGGGGCTGCCCCGCGCCGTGAGGGGCTTGTGCCGGGCGGGGAGGGGCGGGCTCGGCTGAGGGGCTGCGGGCTCGAACCCCGCTGGTGGCGGAGGGAGGCTGCGCTGCGGTGTGGGCAGGGAAAGCCGTGTTGTCACCGAGGGGTAGAGGGAGTTCACAGTCCGATCTTGGGAGGATTAAAAGTCCATTCCTGGGGACATTCCCAGCCCTTTCCTGGGGACATTCCCAGCCCTTTCTGGGGACGCTCACAGCCCTTTCCTGGGAGCATTCTCAGTCCATTCCCGGCGGCATTCCCAGCCCTTCCCTGGGGCTGTGCAGCTCTGTGAGCCCCCGAGCCTCAGCAGGACGGGGGGAGCTGCGTGTCAGCCCCAGGAGTTGGAAGAGATCCCTGTGTGTTGTCAGTCCCATGTCTGTGTGCGTGTTCCCGGCTTCTGGGAGCTCTCCCTGAAAACCCAGCCTGTTCATAGAGAAGGATGCACAGAAAGGGGCTTGTGAACTCCTCCTTTTTTGTGGGAAGCCAAGGAAGGCCCGCTGGGTGGCTGAATGCTCGTCTTGTTTTGCTCCTGGTGCTGGTGATTGCAGTTGGAGGGAGCTGAAACTGGGCTAAAGGTTGAGCAGAAACTTCTCTGTGCTCTCTGCAGCATGCTGAGCCAGCAGTTTGGTGCTGTTGGTTTTTCATTCTGGGTTTATTTACCCCATTTCAAACGGCTTCAGGCAGCTTTGAAGCGGGGTGTCCCAAATTGTCTAAAGGGCAGAGGACTGTAATGTGACTTACTGAGTTACACTAGCTCTGTTTGCTGGGGTAATAACTTATTTTTCCTCCTGTTTTCAACTGTTCAGAGAGTTACAGTCTGTGACGGAAAAAGCAGCAGTGTAAAGATACAAATATTATTCTTTGCTGTGGAAACCTGTAAGTTTTGCTGGGAGGAAGCTGTTCCCTACCTTGTATGGAAATAGTACAGCAAGCAGCAGCTCCTTAGCAATTCCAGCTTGGCTTCCTTCCTTTTTTTCTGGACTGCAGAAGTGGGAAGTCATGGGTTGAGGCAATAAGCATGGGAAATAGAATGTTTGACTTTTAGGGTGATAATGTGTGAATGAAAAACGTATATTTTTATTGGACAAAAAGCTGCTTGACAGAATTCAAATCCAGTCAAGCACTTCCAGAGTTGTATTACAAAGGGCATTGATAAAATGATTTAAACTTATGGACATGCAAAGGAAAAGAAAAATTACTAAATTAAGACCTCTCTCTGCCAACACTTTTCAGCAGTAGATTTAACCCCTTGACAATCTGCACACAGGTGATCGGGTAGTTTTGGGTGGAGAGGGAAATTGGGGACCCCAAAGCCCTTGCACGTATTGTTGCATAATTACTTGGATTCCCAGTTAGGTCATGCCACCCTTTAAGAGTGGATTCAGAGGAGCTCTCAAGCTTTCTTCCTGCTGTATCCTTGGCTCATTGTGCAGAAGAGCTGGGAGCAAGGGTTGGAAATAAATCTTTCAGATTGTAAAGTTGTAAAAGTTTGTGTTAGGGGCTTTCATGTGCAGAACAATGATGTGGGTGTTAGAGCAGCAGGTTTGATGGCTCTGGGTTGTGTATTTCATGGGTTGATACATTAAATACACAATAAATGATAGAATAAATAGGCAAAGGGTTTCCAGTTTACATTCCAGTTCCATGTTTACACTGGATATCTGATTTTGGGGGTTTTATCCCCCTGAAGGATCTGTGTTTCCATCTTTTACTTCCATCAAACCCTGCTCAGTGTACTGAGTGTTGGGCTCACTGTCCCCATGTGTCACAGACATGTTTTCTGAAAAATCCTTTCCTTAGGATTTTTCCTCCTGAGAAGCTGAGAGGCATCAGGAGCAAAATGTAAACATTGATATCTGCTGCTGTGGAATGCAACAGGTGCATCTGTGATTGGTTCCATGTGGTTGTTTGTAATTAATGGCCAATCACAGTCAGCTGGCTTGGACAGAGAGTCTGAGCCACAAGCTTTTGTTATCATTCCTTCTTTTTCTATTCTTAGCCAGCCTTCTGATGAAATCCTTTCTTCTATCCTTTTAGTATAGTTTTAATATAATATATATCATAAAATAATAAATCAGCCTTCTGAAACATGGAGTCAGATCCTCATCTCTCCCCTCATCCTCAGACTCCTGTGGACACCGTCACAGCCCTGCTGCTGAAACTCTCTGTGGTGTTCAGGAGTTAGTGGAAGGGAAACCTTTAACTCTGGCTTGTCTGCCTGTGTTTAGGTCTGCTGAGCTGGGTGACAGCGTGCTGAGCCGGCCCGGGCAGCCCGCGGTGGCGCGCATCCCGCCGCCCATCCTGCCCCGGCCCTCCCAGCAGACGAGCAGCAGCCTGAGCGCCTTCAGGCCGGCCTACAGCAGCTCCTTCTCCCCGGGCTATGGCTCCTACGGATCCTCCTTCTACGGCAGCTACAGTCCCTACAGCTACGGCTACGGGGGGCTGGGCTACAACCGCTTCTGCGCCGAGGCCGTGCCCCCCAGCCGGTTCGTGCAGCAGGCCGAGGAGAGCAGCCGCGGCGCCTTCCAGTCCATCGAGAGCATCGTGCACGCCTTCGCCTCCGTCAGCATGATGATGGACGCCACCTTCTCCGCCGTCTACAACAGCTTCAGGGCCGTGCTGGATGTGGCCAACCACTTCTCCCGCCTCAAGATCCACTTCACCAAGGTGTTCTCGGCCTTTGCCCTCGTGAGAACTGTCAGGTACCTCTACCAGCGCCTGCGGCGCCTGCTGGGGCTGCGGCAGAGCTGCGACAACGACGAGCTGTGGGCTGAGAGCGAGGGCAGAGTGGCTCACCCCGGCCTCGAAGACAAGGTGGCTAACTCTGCCAAATCCTGGCCCATTTTCCTGTTCTTTGCTGTCATACTGGGAGGCCCCTACCTGATTTGGAAGCTGCTTTCTACATACAGTGAGGAAGAAACAGGTAAAGATGGCCTGCAGCACCAGAGAAGTGCAGCGTGTATTGCTCCTTTTGTATAGTGATTGATCTCACACTACAGCAATAGTAATTAATAGATGCTGGGGCACATCTATTAGTACTGAATTTTAGGCATGTGATGCAAGTGACAGCCTGCTTAAGTAACCTGTTGTTAAGATGTGGTTTCCTGCTGAAGCTTGCTGTGATTCCAGAATCATGGTTCCTCTCAACTTCTGGTTCTTTCCTATTAGATGTGGCACTTTGGGTTGGGTGGGACAAGCGTTGGTTGGATTTGCTTCCCAAATCTTGCTTTTCACGTTACTTCTGTCACTTCTCTATTGGAAAAGTTTTAGCAAGGAAGGTGAAGTGTTTTTTCATTTTCCTTTGAAAAACACACCAAACTTTGTAACTCAAAGCTGATAAACTTGTGGTTTGTGTTTGCAAACAGTGTCTAGTAACTGGGCGAGTGGAGAAGACGACCATGTAGTTGGAAGAGCAGAATATGATTTCAATGCTCTCTCAGAAGAAGAAATTTCTTTCCGTGCTGGTGACATGCTAAGATTAGCGCCCAAAGGTAAACTTTTGATTTTCTGGTAAACTTTTTTATTTTCTCAACACATGTGACGTAAGTTATAGTGCAAGAATCTGAAAATTGAAAGAAAAAAGCCCCCAAACCACCTTATTTGACCAAATTCCTCACCCACACTGATTTTTACTCCCCGTGAAGTGATTATTGCATTCTAATGAAACTTAGAGAGTAGATTTGTTCAGTTCTGTTGGATTGCCCTGTAGCTGATGATTTGCATTCTCCCTCAGAACAACAGCCCAAGATCCGTGGTTGGCTCCTGGCCAGTTATGACGGCCAAACAACAGGACTTGTGCCAGCTAATTACATCAAAATCCTGGGCAAAAGAAGAGGGAGGAGAGCAGTGGACCTGGAGAGGAGTGCAGAGCAGAGGCCAGCCTTTCCCAGCACAGCTGCCAGAGGAGCCCCTGCTGCTGCTGCTGCTGCTGCTGCTGCTGTGACTTTGGAGGAGCAGGAGGCAGCTTTTGAGACTGTTTTTGCTGGGAGCAGCAAAGCTCCTGCGGCGTCGGACTCCGCTGTGGCTGCAGGAGAGAAACAGGAGCTCTGAGGCACTTTGGCCAACAAAGCCACTGAACTGGGCTTTATTGACACCTCTTAGGGCTTGTTGAAATCTGGTTTGTAGTGGAGCACTGGTGGGGCTGTACCAGTTTTTGCTGCTACTGGCTGGTGAAGGGATGGAGAAATGATTGCTCAAATTTGTGGTATTTATTTTTGACTCACCTAAGGCTGTGCGTCAGTGATTCTATCCACTCACCTGGCAGCCACTCTGAGATCTCGAGATAGGAGAAGTGAGGCATTCATAAAATAGCAAACAAAGGAAAAAAAGAAAATAGGGACTGCCATTCTTGCTTAGGAGACAAATTAACACCCAGTCTTCATAGGAGTATCAAGCTTCTTCAACAGATGTGCAAAGGGAAGATTGATTTCCGAGAGTTGTCCTCCAAAACATCACCCTCAGAACCATAAAGGAGTAACAGCACTTGTCTCCCCCTGAAGGGAGGGAGAGCTGCAGGAGATGCACACCGTGGAATAGTTAGAACATTTAAGTTGCTTTTATAAGAAGTGGGGTTCTGTCATAAAGAACTCAGCTCTCAGGAAAAAAGGGACTTGGGAGGAAGGGAGGAGAAATAGAGTTCACAAAGGGAGAGCAGTGAGGCATCACCAGTAGTTCCAAGCAGTTCTGGTTTGTTTCTTGAAAGGACATTGGAATAAAGGGTGTTCTGCAGTCAGGCACCCATTAGTTGTTACTCCCTGAGCTAACTCTGCATCACTCTCAGCCATTTTGTGATGTAGCCTGCTAGCTGCCTATCAGCTCCATCTGCATCTCAGCTTATTTCTGTCCTTTATTGATTTTATATCAGTGTCAAAATATCTCTCCTGTGTTTTTGAGCAGTAGGAAAGCCTTGAGTTGGGGGAAGCTGAAAGTAATTGGAGCATCAAAGAAAAAGTAACATTTCTTGCTTAATTGTGTCAGTTAGAGAAGGTCTTGGACTTGGACAAACTTTTCATGCTGCCTTTCAGGTGGTAAATTTTGCATCTGCCCAATAAAATTTTAGGACTCCAGTTTATCAAAAGCCATAAAAATGTTAAGACTGTTCAAAGTATTTTCTTCATATGGGTGTTTGAGAATTCTGTCTTGAAATACTGTTTTGGTTTTTTGTTAAATGAAGCAAAGACAATTAAAACTTTTTTTTTTCCTTGTAGTATGTATGTATAACATGTTGAACTTCTGAAGGTTACATCAGTGGATTAAATAACTAAGTTTGTCTTAATCATTAAAATAATTGGGTTTTTTTAAGGTTTATTGAAAATATAAGTAGGCAATTTCTTAATTGATTGAGTAGTTTCAGTTTGACCATTCCTACAGGGATCTTCAACACCCATTATGTGTTAGGAAAGCTTTCAGTATTTATATTTTAATGGCATTTGCTGGCCTTGGCTTCTTAGAAGTCTGTTCAACACAACAAAACTCTAAAAAAGGAGCAGAATTTTGTTGAGATAGAGTGGCTGAAAAGACAAATATTGTGCTGGAACCTTGATTTGAAAGTAATCTCTGAATGCCTGTTGTTAATAAATAGAACATGAATTTCAGTGGTTGTGCTCAGGTATTGGGAGATGGTGATTAGAATTATTTATAGTAAATTGTTAGATTTTCAAATGCAGATGTAAAGGAAAAAGTAGTTAAAGGGCAAATGAAAAACTTGAGGTTTAAGACAGAATATGTTCCTGAGACATTGCCCTGTGTACCAGAAAATTGTCTGTATTTGAAAATTATATCTGTTTTTGAAATGAAAATAGCGAAAAAAATCTGAAATTTAAAATACAGAGAAGCAAAGGGGGGAAGGGTGTATCATGTCTGCAGTTATGTGTGCAGAGTGTGTCCCTGGAGGGAATTCATTTACTGTTCTGAGATGTAATTAATGGACTGTCAGCCTCTCCTGTCAGTGAAAGATTTCAGAGGAAGGGTCTCTGAATGAATTAATTAATAAACCCCAAATTTTTTAAGAGCATCCATTCAGGTAGATTTTTTGGCTTTCTGTCTGTTTTAGTTTTTTTTTTTTTCTCTGTTTTCTGGCTCAGAACAAGTTGAGAAGACAGCACCATGATGCTTGTTGGAATGTTTTAAGTCTTATTTTTAGAAAGATAAGTTTAATTTCACTTCCAGGTCATACTATTTGACAACAATTCTTTTAGCAGGAAGAAAGGTTATCCTTACCTGAGTTGTCTTTATATTTGTTTGACTCAGCCTACAAGTCACTGTCATCACTGTATCTCCTAAATCTCAACAAGAATTTTGATCCTTTCAATCTTGCAATTACCTTAATTGGAAAAGTAGGCTCTGAGGAATTGAAGTGAGTTATTTAACTCCCAATTAATTGTATTGATTGCAGAAGGGTATTAAAGTTCATTGAAGTGAAATGTACAGCACAATTTACTGTCTGTTTCTGTCCACGTGGCAGGCTGCAGAGAAAAGAAACCTAAATGAGCACTGGGGGGAGAGGAAGGCTGGTGGACAGGCTGCTCCAGACTGGCTCAGCTTTAGGAAGGGGAGAGGAGCAAAAGGAGCAGGTGTGGCTGCCACAGGAGAGCCTGGAAGAGGAGATCAGACAGGAGAGGTGCCTGAAATACTGCCCAACCTAAGCATTTAGGCAAGCAGATTTATTTTGACTTACAAGTTACCTTTATTTACTTCTAAGTTACCTTTATTTACTTCTAAGTTACCTTATTTAACTTATCAGTTACCTTTATGTTACTCTTCAGAATTATTTATATACCTGTAGCAGAGCTAGGCGACTGTAACAGAACTTTGACATCTGTTTATATAAGATATTAATTTATTCTTGAATCTTACTGTTTAGTAGATCAACCATTTTCTGCTTGAATATGTGAGCTACTGACAGATGCCACTGCAGAGTGGTTCTCAGGGTGCAAACTGAACATGAACATGCAAAGGGTCAAAGCTTTGTTCAGCTCTCTGAAAAATCAATTTAAAATCCTCTGTTTGTCTAGTAGAAATAAATGGGCCACTTTGCACAGGTTGAAAACTCTTCCTTCTGTGGAATTAGACTCCATCTGGGATATTAAGGTACTTCTGACTTGGTGAAATGTGCTGCTGAGGTAAATACAAAGCAAATGCAGTTTCTTACAGATCTCCTCTGTTGGCAATGAACACCTTCCAGAAGAGAAGCAAACCTGGAAACCAGCACAGGGATTTCTTGCTAAACCACTGTAGGAATGCTCTCGTGTGCAATCATAGCAGAACTGTTCTTGTTTTACAAAACACAAGAAGTGATGTTCTTATGTAACTCCTTCCAGATGTTTATCCATGCAGGTGTGGCCCAGGTGTTGGGATTGGTGACCATTTTTGGGCTCTAAAGGCAGGTGGTAATTGTGAGTGCCCACACATCCTTTCCTCTCCTCACATCTTGGACTGGTTCCTCTGCAGGGCACTCTGAAGCAGCTTTGGGCTGATAAATCTGTGCCCTGCCTTCTGTGGCCACAGCAGCTCAGCCTTTAACTGCTGCAGAATCTCTCCTTGGGACAATTGCACTGGTCTGACTGGTTTGACTGGTCACAGGGCACCCTGGATCCTTCTTACCTGCTTTGAGCAATTCCCTGAGTTTCACAACAGTCACAAAACCATCAGACTCCAGCAAGTGACAGGGATTATTTGTGCTGCCACAGTATAAACACAGTCTTGTGCTTTGGAAATGAAAAATACAGAGTCAGCTTTATTACCTCTGAATTATTGTAACTGATCTAGCACAGTCTCTGGAACAGCACACAAGTAAAATTTAAGATACTGATTTTTTTCTTGTTTGTTTATTCTCAAATCCTGATAATGTTTTTCTTATTTAAAAATAAAACAGGAGGGGACTGACTCCTGCCTAATAGCACAGATTAATGAAAAAACCATGTTCCAGTTCTCTGCCATACCATCAGGTTTCCATTCATTGTCGAATGACTGGATGTCATCATAATGCAGCAATATTCCAGCATTAATTTATTCTGTGGGTGGTATGAAACCAGTGGGTTTTGCTTTCCCTGAGACCTGAGGGAAGCATTCAGACTGACTTGGAGAATTCAGATTTCAGATACTTCTCTAGATTGGCAGAATCATTTTTTCTGAATTTTTGTAAATTTTTCTGTGTTGTTTTTTTTTTTCATTCTCTGTCCTCACTGTGTTATTTCAGAGTTTACAAGTGGGATTTTTGGAAAGAAAATTATTACTATTCCCAATTTTTGCCAAATGACCACAAAGGGAAAGATTGTTATGTGGGAAATTGAGATCTGGGCTGGTCTTTATCGAGCACTGGTGGCTTCCCACAGGAAGCAATTTAAAAATGTTTGGGAATACTTGAGACAGCAGTAGCCATGCAGCAGGAATCAGTCTGTGTGGGTGAAATAACAGGATTGGGACAGTGTGGGCCTGTGCAGGGCAGCTCTGCTGAGCCGCTCCCAGCGCTGGGGCTGTTCTGTGTAATTAGCAACAATTTCAGTGTTCTGCTGCTGGTTTTTGTGTTAACAGCGGCTCAAGTGTTCGCATCAGCTGCAAACCTGGGAAAGGCTTCTCTGTGCTGGGAGCATGGAGCGCACTGACACATTGCTGGTTAATTAATTAGCTGTGCTTACGTCACGAGCCAGACTCTCGTGTCCGATGCATTATTTATTTATTTTATATATTTATATTTGTTCAAATATATATCATCGTCGGGCAGTATGAGCTCCCCTGGCCGGGCTCTTCCTTCCCCGGCGGCGGGAGTGCTGCGGTCAGCTGGGACTGCGGGAAGCGGAGCCAACGGAGGGAGAGCGCCGGCGTGACGTCATGACGAGTGTGCTTACGTCACTCTGATCGCGTCACTTGTGCGAGGCGCGCCGTGACGTCACCGTGACGCCGCGCGGGGCGGCGCGTTGCCGGGGCGACCGGACGCCGCTCGCAGGGCGGGAGGGGGCGCCACCACGGCCGCCGCTGCACTGCGGCAAGGCGGGGCCGCCGCGCGCCCGGGGCGGGAGCGCTCCGCGCCACCCCATTGGCTGCACCCCGCGGGGGGGGCGGGGCCTCCGCGCCGGCCCCGCTCCCATTGGCGGGGGCCGCCCCCTCACGGCGCTGCCGCCCCTCCCCTAAGGGCGGGCCCGGGCGGCGCCGGTAGATGAGGGCGCGGCGGGTGCGGACGGGGTGCCCGCGGGTACCGCTCGTCCTGCGGTGGAGCCGAGCCCCCGTCCCGCTGCTGCCCCACCGGATCGGCCCAAGGAGGAGCCCCCCTGCACGTCCCATCCCGTCCCGCTGACCCCGCGCCTGGGAACCGCCAGGTAAACCGGGAGGGGTCCC